TCAAAAGTGCTCAACAATTCACTGATGACATTGATTGATATTCGAAAGCTTACCTCTACACCTGGAAATGTTACCGGTTGCTGAGTCACCTCTGGAGCTGCACGGTCGTCCCGAAAATTCGGCGGTGCATGTGGAACCGCGGCACTCGCTGCGCAATTTGACACTGATAACGGGACTTCCTTGCTTAACTGGAAGCTCCTGGTGGTGTACCCTTATTGAACTTTACATCATTCTGCATCAGCACTACATCTGATGACCTTGACAAACAGCCTAACACCTCCGGATGTCCCTATTATAATGCAGCAACCTCCTTTTGCTGCAACTGCAAAGACAGGGCAGCTATTTGAGCCTGCATTGCAGCCAATATTTGTTTCGTATCGTCGAAACAAATTACAAGAGTCCTGCTTTCCTCTGCACCATCTCCAGTCGGTTCTAAAGACTTGTCATTTTTCTCGTCCTGGCTTTGTTTATACTCCTCTATCCAATTCACCTCTGGATTTAGGTGCTCTATCCTTGCTAGCAATGCCGATTAATTTTCCGTTTCTAAACATCCACGAGACCGTAGAATACTCTTCAAATCGGCCAATGTCAACTTCATTGTCATGTTGTTTATTTCGTGTTTACATCAGACAGAAACCTCGACCGTTCAACAGACACACATTCACCGGCAAAGTACAGTATTCAAGTGTGAAACTAATACTAAAGCAAACAACCATAACCACTTCTGATCTGTGATGGATGGCCAAATCAAAAAATTAATTAATAGAATAAATTAACAATTTATTTGTCAGGTACATTTCAAGATATGTTCGCTCGTACGCTCGGTTTAAGACTAAAGAGTTGTCCCTTTATCTCCGTACTCTTAACATTTTCCCCCATTAGTATACAAGGGAACTGAATACACACACTCTCACACACTTTTCTTCTGTTTTCTTCATAGCTGTATAAATTTAAAAAAATAAAATAGCCACTCTGTTCAGTTTTACTATTTTTGAATGTTTTTATGGAGAAATTTTCTTTAAGAAAAATCAAAAAATATGTGGGTTCGAAAATTATTTAAATGGGCACTAAATATACGTACTCTAAAAATTTCGCGTTGGTCCCGAACCTATTTTCGAAAATAGAGTGGAATAAAACTTTCGTATTTTTTAGGCTATATTGACATGGGTTTTAAAGGTTTTAAATCAATGTGAAGATGGTCGACATCTGTGAACCATCTTCACATTGATTTAAAACCTTTAAAACCCATGTCAATATAGCCTAAAAAATACGAAAGTTTTAATCCACTCTATTTTCGAAAATAGGTTCGGGACCAACGCGAAATTTTTAGAGTACGTATTTTTTATTTTTCTCATTTTTCTCCAAGAAAATTATTGACATTAAAAAATAGTAAAAGTGAACAAAGTGGCTATTTTAGTTTTAAAATTTTTTATAGTTATGAAAAAAAGAGAAAAAAATTGCAAAGAAATTCTAAAAGTTTATGACAAGAACTTCATATTTGGTAAGTTTTTATTTAATTTAATGTTTCCTATTTTTTATAATTAATGAATAAAAATCGCAAAATTATAGTTTATTTAACAGATGCACTTGAAAAACATATTTTATATATTATTTCATATATTTAAATAATTATATCAATTGCCGGTAATGATAAATTTATTCATTCTTAGTAAATTCCAATAATTTTTTTTAGTTTTATATTAAATTCTATGTTTTTTTTTGCATATTTTCTAATGGCTAAAAAATTGACAGGTTTCAGCACCTCTTATACTTTTAATTCCTATTTTACAATAAATAATTAAATTTTTAATAAAATTCTTTTCATTTTGTGATCTTGATAACTTCAAAATCATTCCTGCAAAGTATTATTATTTTTAAAAATTAGTCAGCAATTAACAATATTAAATAATCATTCAAAAAATTGACGTCCCTTCTAAAAATCGAAAAAATATTTTTTGACAATACTCACCTTATTTCAACGAATAGTCTAAAATAAACAACTCTACTAAAAAAAAATTTATTTTGGAGTAAATAATCTTTGTATTAAATCACATTAATATATTTAAATAAACGATTGCCTTTCTTTTTAATTGAGCGTCTACATGCAATAATCGGTCGAGCGCTTGGCTGAACGCTGTAATGCTAGTCAGACGGGTCAAAAAGTAAAAAAAAAAAAGAAAATGAAAATTTTGATTTTTAAAAAATAGTACCATGCAGAAAATGAAGAGACGCATCTTTTTTTCCTTTGAGATTTTTTTATAGGACGAAAATTTAATTTAATAAATCCAAAAAACTGAAAATTTTTTTTTCACTATTTTCATTATATTTTTAAACATAAATCGTCGTAACTTCCACAAATATTAATGAAATCGATTAAAATTCGGTATACAAACGCATTAGGGTCTAGAGAATACGATAAATTAATAAAAAAAATTATAATCATTAATCATTCAATAAATTATTATTATTATTAATGACGTGTCGATAATCACGATTTCTTACCTTCGCCGAGAAAAAGTCTGTGAGGAACTTTCGAGTTGAAAGAACTTCCAGTGAGACATTTGTTTATTAATATATAAAGAAGTTTTTTGGAAATTTTCGAGTCAATTCATTCACAATTTTCAAAAATATAAGTGTTTTTTGAAAAAGCGGGTGGCGCGCTAGCGAGTCGCCGCGTGGAGAGTTTCGTCTGCTAGAATAATAGGCGATAGTGTTTTGTTTTCGTACATATTTTTTATTTATTTTCGTATATAAGCAAGCATGTCCGGCAATGTTCTCTAGACCCTAATGCGTTTGTATACCGAATTTTAATCGATTTCATTAATATTTGTGGAAGTTACGACGATTTATGTTTAAAAATATAATGAAAATAGTGAAAAAAAAATTTTCAGTTTTTTGGATTTATTAAATTAAATTTTCGTCCTATAAAAAAATCTCAAAGGAAAAAAAGATGTGTCTCTTCATTTTCTGCATGGTACTATTTTTTAAAAATCAAAATTTCCATTTTCTTTTTTTTTTACTTTTTGACCCGTCTGACTGGCATTACAGCGTTCAGCCGAGTGCTCGACCGATTATTGCATGTAGACGCTCAATTGCACTTAATAAATTTTAAATAATATATTATATTTTATTATTATAGAATGAATAAATAAGATAATTTTTAAAAAATTTAAATTCTTACTGCAAACTTAATACTTTTTATTTTGGTGCCTTTTTAAAATAAGTGGTCTAAATAGCTAAAATCCTGCATTTATGCCGCTAGGGGCTAAATAATCTATCGTGACTATTCCTCTCGCTAGCGGCCTAAATAGACAGCCATTTATTATTTTAAAGTATGTACAAAGTCATAAATATTTTAAGAAGAATTTGATGTAATTTTTCCAGAATATACATTTTTTATAAAAATTAGATAACAACTTTAAAACTTTTGCAAAATTAAAAATTATATAAATGCTCTTAATCAAATAAATTCAGAAAAATGGTATAGGTTAACCCTGTTGGCACTTTTCTTAGTTTTCTTAAAATAGCAAGAAATAAATGATTAGCTTGTTTTACATTGGTCTGTTAAATTTTGCATAATTTTTTTTTGCACAAATTGAGTATGCATATTAATTATTTTAATTATTTAAGATATAAAAAAGCAGTCATTAGCACCTATTGTTTTTGCAGAGAAAAATGAGGATATCATAAAATAATGCTAATTTGAAAAAAAGAAAATTGAGAAAAATGTGAATAAAGAAAACATTTTAAAAAGTACCAATATGATTAATAACGAAACTGAAAAAAGTGGGCTGTTGTTCATACTACATATGAGTGTCCCGATCAAATAACTCGACCGACGCTCGGACGCACGTTCTAATGGTAGTCGGGTAGCAGTGAGCCGCCCCCAGGCTGTCACTGCTACTTGACTGGTAATAGAGCGTTCGTCCGAGCGTCGGTCGAGTTATTTGATCGGGACACTCATATGAGGTATTTCATATGAAAGGCGGCCTGGCTGAAAAAACTTGTACATGTTCATTAATGAACTTGTACATGTTCAAGTAATGTTCTTGAACAATGTCAGCATCCGGAATTGAGACATGTTCTTGTATCAGAACTTGTACAAGATCCTGGACAAGAAAATATACTTGTACAAGAAAATGTACACTTTCTTGTACCAGATGTGGAACATGTTTTTGTACATGTTCATGTATGTTTTTTAAATTAAAAACTTTAAAGACTGCGCAGTAGTTTTCTTAAGCCTTTACAGCTGCGCAATAATTTTTAGCATACCTAAGTTAAGAGTCCTAATAATTATAACTTATTGAAATTCAAATTTTTTTCAAAAACATTTTTTATACAAATGTTCTTGTACAAGAACATAAACGTGTCCATGTAAAAGTACTTGTACATTAAACCTGCACAAGAATAATTTTAAAAACACCATTCCAATGCTTATCGAAATCCGCATCCAACAGTAGAACTATTTTGGATAAACGGGTGTTAAATTAATAATTAATAATAAAAACTATTTAAATAATTAATAACATTTGAAGGAATGAAGATAAACCGTCAATTCTTTTTTTGTTTGTAAGATCATTTAATTCTGTGTCAAATAAGACCAGTGTAAATAGCATTTTTAACATTCCAAATTATTAACAGATGATTATTGAAAATCGCTGTTTCAGCACGCCACGGTACAACTTGGCGGACGTTGCCTATCTACTCGGCTTGGTATTTTTCAGCCTTTTTCTAAATAACATTTTATAATTAATATTTTCATTTCTTTTTTTAACACAGAATTAGATGATCTTCCAAACAAAAAAGAATTGACGGTTTATCTTCATTCCTTCAAATGTTATTAATTATTTAAATAATTTTTATTATTAATTATTATTAATCACTACAATTTACCGAATTTTGAGAAAAATACTAGACATGACCCCGTCTTTTCATATGAAATGCCTCATATGTATGAATGGTTTTGAATTTGTTAATTAGCTATTCCTTATTATTTTCAGTATGGTTTCTGACTTTTTTTATCCAAACATGGGAGGTGTAGAACAACATATTTTTAATTTATCTCAATGTTTAATAGAAAGAGGTCACAAAGTTGTTGTAATGACACATGCGTATGGAGATCGTGTAGGAATTCGTTACATGACAAACGGATTAAAAGTACGTATACAATAGTTATGTTCAACTTTAAAAAAAGGCAACAAATTCTTATTGCAAAGTTCTTTAATTTTAATTTTTTCAATTATTTTACATGTTTATAAAATTTACACAAACGTCTCTTATATTGATAATAATTTTTTACGTGGCACCTTCCTATAAAAGTTTTATATATTTCAGGTTTATTACTTACCTATTAAAGCATTTTACAATCAGTGTGTTCTACCAACAATGATTTGTTCCATTCCATTGATACGATACATTTTTTTACGAGAACAAATACAAATCATTCACGGACATTCTGCATTTTCAGCTTTGGCCCATGAAGGAATGTTAATTGGTCGATTACTGGGACTAAAGGTATCGAATCGAAAATTCTTTAGTTTATTGAAATGGTGAAAATAGAATATATCTTCTCTTTTGGCAAATTTATAAATTTTCTATTTTCCAGACTGTCTTTACTGATCACTCACTGTTCGGTTTCGCAGACGCTTCTGCAATTTTAACGAATAAATGTTTAGAAATTTCTCTAGCGGATTGCAATCATTGCATATGCGTTTCGCATACTGGGAAAGAAAACACTGTTTTGAGAGCGAAAGTTCTGAAAGAAAGAGTTTCAGTTATTCCCAATGCCGTGGACACTGCTCATTTTACTCCTGATATCAGTAAAAGAAGTAAAGACTATAGTGAGTGTTTCATTTTTCCAAGATCAGAGATTTCATTCTATAAACTTTTTTAAAAATATTTTTATAATAAAATGTTTTTGAAACAAATTTTCATAAAAATGTTACAAATTCCAGTGTATTTTTAAAAAATTATTATATTGTATACTTTTTAATTGTTTACAGTTACGATTGTTGTGATTGCTAGATTAGTTTATCGTAAGGGTTTAGATCTTTTGGCACAAGTGATACCGGAAATTTGTGCACGTCATCGAGATGTTCACTTTCTCATTGGAGGTGATGGACCAAAGAGATGGCTTATCGAGGAAATAAGGGAGAGAAATTTATTGCAACATAGAGTTACACTTTTAGGAAGTTTAGAGCACTCTCAAGTGAAACACGTTTTGAATAAAGGACACATATTTTTAAATACAAGTCTCACTGAAGCCTTTTGCATGGCAATTGTCGAAGCCGCTTCCTGTGGGTGAGTTCATTATTTCATAAAAATTTCTACTAAAAATACACAATTTGAAAAATGATATTCAATTTATAATAAAATCTAATTAAAAATATCGAATCCCAGACTACAAGTCGTGTCAACGAAGGTAGGAGGCATTCCGGAAGTTCTACCTCCCGATTTGATTTACCTCGTTGAACCAACAGTACCTGCTTTAGTCGAAGGACTCGAGAAAGCGATAGCAGATTACAAATTGGGAATAAATCTTAGCTCTGAGAAAGTGCATAAAAAAATAGAGTCCTTTTATAACTGGTTCAATGTTACGAAACGAACGGAAGTCGTTTATGATTTAGTTCTTCAAGAAGAATTGAAAAATTTTGGTCAACAACTAGCCAGTAATCTGAAAAGCAATGTGTTTGCTTATCTTCTAGTCATTTCACTCTGCTACATAATATTGCAGGCACTCGAATACTTCGTTCCAAGAACGGTAACAAGCAACATTTTCATTATAAAACTTTTCAAAAAGATAGTCTTTAATTCTAATTAACAAAATAATTAATACAAAATATCTTGAAATTTAAATAATTCTAAAAATCTGAACTATAGCTCTTCTAACAATAAGATTCAATGATTTTTTAATTTTTAAACTTCCATAATTCAATTTCATTAAAATTTCAATTTAAAATCTCTTAAAATTCAATTATTTCTAAAGAAATCTTATATGTGACTCTTCCAAAACTGAATTATTTTTAAAATTATCTAAAGCCAAATTAATAATTTTCAAAATGTAATATTTATTTATTTCTATGATTTTTTAACTATTTCAACTTCAAACTTTGATAAAATTCTGAATTCATAAATAATTTTTAATAAATCAGATTTGAAAATTTGTTTAAAATAGTAACTTTCATATTTCTTTAATAAATCTAAAATTTTTGAAATTCTTGAAAATTTGTCTCAGTTAAATTTTGAAATATTTATTATTTTAAATATCTAATAACTATGATTAACAAAAATAAAATTTTTATTGAATTAAATTGATTAAAATTTAGAAAATGGACTTTCTTTCTTTCTGTTGTTTAAAGTTAGAATATGGTCTAAAACATCTTTTTTTTGCGTTCTAAAGTCGATCCGAAACCTGTGATTACTATTCTATAAAATATTAATATTATCCATATTTTATTATTTATTATTCTTAATCACTTATTTACTATTTCAGTACATCGACATCGCGGAAGATTACAAAAGAAGAAGTTTTAAAATAAAAAAGGCATCCCAATAAACAAATTAGTAGCACAAGAAGACAAATATTTAGTTTCTTGGATAACTAAAAGTATTCTTTTTTATATTATTTATTATGTAGGTACTTTTATATTTGTTTTACAATTTGTACATTGTTGTATAATAATTGTAGAAATGTTACTTACGAAAATATTACAATAATTCAAAGTAACCAAAGAAAAGGTAACTGAAAGTACATCTTTGAAAAAGAAAACTACTTTTAATTAGACATAAATTTAGAACACCGATATTGTACTTTTCATAATTTCACTGGATTAGTGGATAAAAAGGACACGTCAAAAATACCGTAAGACTGGGTTATTTCGCTCATTGCGGGTAAAGTCGCTCATCAAGTTAGCTGCTTTAAATTATATCAGGGTGTCTAACAGTCCTGGAATTTTAAAACAAATTATAAAAAATAGAGCATAAACGGTGCCATTTCTACTCTATTTTTTAAAAAATAGGACAGAAATTAAAATGGCGCCGTTTTTGCTCTGTTTTTTAGTTATGGAAATCTTTTAAGGGTGTCATTGGAAAGTTATGTAAAAGTCAGGGAATTGTACTTTTGTAATTTGTTAGACACCCTATATATAAACTAAATTATGATACTTATATGAACAAATTCAACATTTTAACTTGGTAATAAGTGTATCAAATTTTATTTTAAAGCTATCTTGAAGCAAATAACTTGGTGAGCTCATACTTAAGGGGTTACACCACCTTGAACGCAAAAAATTTTTACGGTTTTAAAGAAATTTTCTTTACGAAACTGTTAAAGATATAACTTTTTCATGCACTAATGACATAAAGTACAAGTATTTAAGTTTTCAAAAAATCAAAGAACATTAAGGGGATACATATCTTTATGCTCGTAAAAAATAAGAAATTTTCAACAAAAAAATTTATCCGTTTTAAAAAATTTTTTTAAAACGAAATTTATTTTATCGAATAGTACATATTTCGATGTACTTTTAAATAATTTTTTATTAAAAAATATTTGTAATTGTGACAACTAGACAACAACAATTGTTTTTTTCCTCAAAAATTGTGATTTTAGGGCTTTTAAATTTGGCTTTTTGACCAAAAAAAATATATAAATTTTGATTCAAATTAAAGTTCCTTCGTTCACGCATTAGCAATTGTATATGTATAAAAAAAACCCCTGAAAATTTCAGCTCGATCGATTTAAGGTATCACATCGGTAAAACCGTTTTCCATAAATTTTCTTGAAAATTTTACCATATGTTCTTATTATCATTCTTGACAAATTTGCAAAATATGAAGAATTTTCGCCATACGAAACCAGAGATATTAGCAATCAAAGTTGCTTATTTTGCATGGGAGACAGGACTAATGTATGGGGGAGAAGTACATTTTCATAAATATCATCAGAAGTTTTCTATAAATTTTTTTCAAAAACTAATGTTGAATTCACGAATAAATTTGGAACTAAAATATACAAAGAAATTTATAATTTACCGTGCCGTTTATTTTTAATTATAAATTAAAAATTCTATTTCATGACGTCATTTGCAATATATAGCACACCCGCCACTTTGATGTGGCAACATCGCAGGATGGTAACATTAGTTAGAGAGAGACAGTAGTCCACAGTAGTCAAAGCGAGACTTATAGCGACGTTGTCAAACTTCCTACTCCTTCCAATCGCTGCTAGTGTGGGGTATACGTGTACGAGTGTATTTGTAGAAGTAGGTACAGTATGGGCTGAGAGTATAGGGAGTTGAGGGCGAAAGTATAGTGCGGGAAGTAGTAATGCGAGCTACAAACTTTTGACTCCGATTAGTGCCGATGTGATACCTTAATGGTTTTGGAAAATTCGTAGTCACCGTAACGGTAGTTATCAAAAAATACGATTCCGAGTTAATAGCATTTAAAGTTTATAGCGTATATACTTTGAGAAGTAGAGGGCTATAAACAGCCTTAACTTTGGTTCTAGTCATGGAGTAGTATAAGTAGACCGAACGACGTACATTGAAAGTGGACCAAATTTTGGTAACCGTTGAGTGTCATGAAAATACGTAATGGAATACGTGGGAAGTATGTAAACAGTGGAAAAAATTATAAGTACGTTGAACATAACCCATAACCCCCCATTGCTCCTTATTTTTAAGGGGAGGCACCACCCCCAATTTTGACCCACATAAATTTAAATTATTAAATGAGGTTATATTTTTTTTCTTGCATCATTTGGGTCCTAAAAACATATACGGTGGTCAAAAAAAGAAAATTTTAATTTTTGACCATTTTAGAATTTTTATTTTTTGAAAATCCATGCGAGAGATTCTGACAAATCATTAAAAAAGTGTGGAAAAAATTTGACGATGAAAAATACTTAAAATTGTGAAAGAAGATACATATTTAATAGAAGAGTGCAATGATGTTTTAACTTATATTTTTCGCTCTTTTTTTGAAAAAATTAAAATTTTTGAAAATCCATGCGAGAGATTCTTAAGAATCATTGAAAAAAGCGTGGAAAAAAATTGGTGATGAAAAATAGTCAAAATTGTAAAAAAAGATAGATATTTAAAATATTAATTTTTTTAAGACTTTAATTTCTAAAATAGTCATAAATTAAAATTTCAGTTTTTGGACCATCCTGTATGTTTTTAAGACCCAAATGATGTAAGAAAAAAAATAGAACCTCGATTAATAATGTAAATTAAAGTGGGTCAAAATTGGGGGTGATGCCTCCCCTTAAAACTTTTACAATGGCTGACTGTCCAGCTGAGTTTAACACAATCAGTGGCGCTAGTGTTCCATTACGTATTTTCATGACACCACGAAGTAGTATAAGGAGACGTAACGCCATGCATTCAAAGCAACCCCAAATGCGTGTCCTAGAGTTACTAAGGTTTTCGAATAATGCTCTTGTAGCGCCTCTACTGAGATAAATCGGAATCAAAATATGTCGTCTGCTATCGCGTAAACAACCGTAGTTGACAGCAAAAGTGTTTTGATCACGAAGTGGTTTTGATAAAATATTGTGTAATAAATAAATAATAAAATAAATATTGTGAAATATTAAATAAAAAAAAAAATTAAATCTGATTCCACAAAGTGCAAATCACATATCTTATCCTTTTTTGTCAATTTTGGTTTTTTTCCAATGCCAACAATAGCACTCGACCAAGTTAACAAACTTTCATTCTATAATACGAAAGCATTAAAAAATAAAAAACACTTCGGAAATAATTAAAACTCTAATGATATAATATTAACAATAATAAAACAATAATAAATAATAAAAATTAAATACTGTTCGAGCCGAAAAAAAACTTCGATTTTCTCCATTTTTTTCTTCTTTTGTAGTTATTTTTGATCCACATCCTTTTATAAAACATGACATTTCACTGATAACATTAACAAAGCACAAAGTGCAAGCGCGAAACACCGGTTCAAGACAATTTGTCAGCACATGCGAGCACGTGATAAATTTTAATTCTCTATTTCTCCACGCGCGGCGTCCTCATCGCATTATTAGAAAAATGCGTAAACTCTAGGACACGATTTTGGGGCTCACTTTCACCACAATCTACTATGGGCGTTACGTCTCCTTATACTACTTCGTGCATGACACTAAGCGGTTACCAAAATTTGGTCCACTTTTAACGCAGATTTAACATGGTCGTTCGGTCTCCTTAGGGAGCGTTCAAAAATTACGTAACATTTTTTAGGGGAGGGGGGGTCAAGCACTTTGTTACGGACAGCAGAAAAAATGGCGCTAATGTATGCAATAACGTGTTACATGGAGAGGGGGGGGGGTCAAAATTAAAAAAAAAACGTTACGTAATTTGTGAACGCTCCCTTATACTACTCCATGGTTCTAGTGCTCCGATTTGATTGAAATTCGGGAAAACATTCTTGAAAGTATACATTTGATATACACTTTTGATACGTGCAATAAACAAAAATCGATTTTTTTACCCATAAAAGGTATGTAATCTCTTAAAAATTGAAACCGGACGTTTGAAATATGTGGTTTTGAGGAAAACGCGTTTAAGGTTATGTGACTGTTAGGTCTGTAATGTTAATTTGTCCGTAACTTTTCTCGTAAAATACTAAGTAGATTAAGTTGAAATTTTATAGAGCAGTTCCAAATATGATAAGAAATGATTATCAAGTGCAAAAATGTTGATATATTGTTGAATAATTATTATAAAACACTTGAAAATAGTTAGAAAATGTGGGGTGAGGAGTATCGGATTTTCCAACAATTTTTATGCCTTTTATTATATTTATTTAACAATATATTAACATTTTCGCACTTCACAACCATTCTTTATCATATTTTAAATATCTCCACAAAATTTCAGCTCAATCCATTCGCATTTTACGAGAAAAGTTACGGATAAATTAACATTACAGACATTAACAGTTACATGACCTTAAAGGTTTCCGTGATATACAGTGCGCTTATAACAGGGCACCACACGGATGTAAAATTTAAGCTTTTAAAAATGTTTTACCTCTATAATGATATTGTATTATTGTATAATGTATATTGTATACGCTAAGGGCATGTAACAAAATTAAATTTTTTTTGTAAATAATTTTAAAAGTCTGAAAATTAACATTGGTTACCAATAATCGCCATATTTATCTCGTTGAACGAACAGTACCTGCTTTAGGCGAATGACTCGAGAAAGCGATAACAGATTACAAATCGGGAATAAATCTTAACTCTGACAAAGTACATAAAAAATAGAATTCTTTTATAACTGATTCAATGTTACGAAACGAACAGAAGTCGTTTATGATTAAAGGTACAGTCCCATGTCGGCGTAAAAGCGTAAATCATGAGAGTGAAAGAGACAAAAAGTATCACTAACTATTGACTAATGTTGTTGCTTATCTTGTAGTCAATTCGTCTATGAAGTATTACAGTACCTAAGTTAAAAATAAATTTATATTTTTATATAAAGTTTTTATCACAAAATGTATTAACTATTTGTATCATAAATTCAGGACTCATTTTTATTAAAATGTTGATAAAATTAGTTTATTATTATTGTTGAAATTTAATTGAATAAATTATGTATGTAAATACACAAATAAATTTGATAATTTAAATTAAATGTTATTTTATTCTACAAATTGTAAAACTAAAATTCACAAGTTTTTTAAGTAAAATTAAAATGAAAGTGAGACCAAAAATGAGCAACGGGTAAGTTGAAAATTCAAGTTGAAAATATAATAAGATTTATTTTACCAAGTTGTACGTTAGATACAATAATAATAATAATAATATTGATACAATATCAATCATTATTCTGTTTGTTTAATCATCACTGTATTAATGTACATTTTTTCCTATTTATACATAAATCTTTCAATTAAGGGAAATAGTTCTTTCTCTGAACAGATGTAAAAACGATTGTTGCAGCGGAAGGACAACATCCCTTAGTTAACAACCTTTACAATATTATGAATGATCAGATCTGACGGAACAAATCCAGTCCTGTATTTTTATCGCATCTATCTGCGCAGTAATACCGATAATTAGCCAAACTCAGAGTGTTTCTAAATTAATATTAATAATAATAAAAAATATCAACGACTCTGATTTATTTTTTTCTCTCATTCGAATCATTTTTGAGCATTCATTAATTTGTCCGAAATAATTCTTGAATAATTATAAAAAATATATTTATGGAACAATAATTTTGAAATTTTTTTTTTTTTCTTAACTTTTAACGATTCTTTGTCTTGATAAACATTAAAATAATCGCAAAGGTATTAAAAATTGTTAAAATTTCCAGAATGTCAATACTCGTTATTCGAGAAATGTTTTGCAATTTTTAAGAACAGCTTTCATCAAAAATTATTTTTCAGTTTCAAAAGGAAAAATTATTTTTGGTAAAATTATTAATTATTCTTTAAAATAGCAATATTTCCAATAAAATAAAATTAACATTCTCGCTTTATGGTAAAATTTTTTTTAATACACTCTTTTCCAAAATAATGCATTCAGTTTTTTTTATCGATTCTTATGCGAAAAAACAAGGTGTCAAGTTTAACAGACGAAAAAAATAACAGAAAAAGACATATAAACTGCGCTATTTTTTGAAATGAACCTATATATATATATATAGGTTCATCATCTATCACTGTACTCGTTTAATTATATAAAATTGAATTAAAATTCATTAAAATCAACTTTTGCGTAAACTATCTGTTAAATATGAAAAATAATAAATTTTTTCTATTAACATTATTTTAAACTATATATAAATAAATTGTTTTTATGAACTAAACCTAATTAAAACTGTTGTGAGATTTTTTCATCAATAGTGCAGTCTAGATATAATTTTCCAAATTCTTTAATATTTTTCTCTTCTTTAAAAAAAAATTAATGCTTCAGGTCACAGATTCAATAATAATATATATATATATATATTTATTTTTCAAAAAAAAGAAAAAAAAACACACATGGCACTCGCAGAATGCGCAAATTGCTAAAGAATGAAATGAAACGAATTTTAATTTCGATCAATTGCTCTATGTGACATTTATAAAAATGATAATATATTGACAAGAAAAAAAATGATCGAAATTTGTATTCTGAATACTGTTCAAGTCGAGGTGCAGTTGGAACAATTTTTATCCTTAAACGAACTAATGTCATAAATATCTAAAAGTTTTAAAATATAAAAATGCTTAAGTTTAAGAAATCATTTTAGAAAAATACAAAAGCTCAAGAAACTTTACACAACAGTTAAGAAATCTTTACAAACTGAAAAATTTTTCGGCATTATTTCTTCAACAGTGTAATAAATTTCTTTTAATAAAAAAAACTGCCAGAAAGCAGTTTTCCTTTTAAACAATATAACAATTAATCTCAATTAGTTCGCGTAAGGATAAAAAACATTTGAAGAGAAATGATAAGAATGATAACTGAAATTCGGTGTTTTGAATTTTCTAATACGTTGGAGGACTGAACCTTTCAAGGTGTTCCTGTCAGAGAGGAAAGACTGCTGCGTCTACGCAGATTTCAAAGGTTCTCGTCGTCTTTAAATATCTCCATGGCAATTTTCATAGAAAATCTTTTAATTAACAAACGCGGAGTATGACCGACGAGTTCCTCTGAATCCAGTTAGCTACAATAAATAAATAAGTAATCAACTGTCAAACTCCGCGTTGCTTCATTTCTTCGTTTAAACAATTATGAAGCATTATGTGTGTTTCCTTTAAAATCCTTCTCCGTAATCGCGATCGCCAACATTGATGCGATCCGGAGCTGATGTCACGCTAAAGCCAAGAATTCTGTTGTCCACTTTGAACATTTTTCCCTTCTTTGGCTTCTTTGATTTGCCCTAAAAAAAACAAAAATATTTTCTTTAATTTTATCATCTATTCATACTAAAAAAAATGGGACAAGTGCAAGTTACACTCGCATTAAAACCGAGGGTTCCGTACCCTTAAACCTAAAATTTGAGGGGGTTAAAGTGTAAAGGCCAATGGAAAAATTCCAATTTTTCTTAAATTTTCCTGAAAGGGAACATGAAAACACATAGATAGACACATATATCGAAAATTATCAGTTTTTCCTTGAAAACGCTAGGATAATCAACTCCAATCGTGCTCACTATACTTTTTTGTAATCTACACGTAAAAATACGTAAAATGGTATAAATTTGAAGCCCTTAAGAAAAAAATTTCCTTCTTTTTTTATTCGAAAAATCCATGATTTTTTCTAAAAATATGAGTTTTCCTTAAAAACAATATGATCATCAACTCCAATCGTGCTCGCTATATTTTTCCTGTAATCTACACGCAAAAATACGCATGTACACAGAAAAAACCTGAATTCAAATTGAGTATAGATTCTATACTCAATTTGATTCGCAACAAAAATGAAACTGGTTGTTTCATTTCGAGTTCTAAGGTAAAAGTATCAAAATGAAACAGGCAAGTTTCATTTTGAGAAAAAGAAAAATGGAAAAATATTGTGAAATAACGAATAATTTTGCACAAAAACATGAAATATAATAATTACAAAGAAGTAAATAACACGCTAGACTTAATATATTTGATTAAAAATTGCTTGTAATCGCGTAATAAAATAATAAAGGAAATATGTTTTTAGGTTAGAAAAATGAAAACATGTGTTTTGACAACAGGAACGGTACTGCCAACTTAAATAATAGCGGTAAATTTAAAAACTTATGAAATTAATTATTATCTACGTAAATAATAATAAATAATTTTTATTTAAAAACTTCTAAATATTCTTACTGGTCAAAATAATCTTTCTGGTGTTGTTGAAATATTAGAAACAATAATTGAAATACAAAATTACTCTGCTTATGATGCCAACTTAGAAATCTGAAATTCCAGCCAATATCATTTTGAATAACATGAAGTTTGTCCCATACTCATTTCGATACCCAAAAGAAAATGAGTTGCAACAAAAATGAATCCAAGTTTTTTCTGTGTATACAAAATATGAACTGTCTTGGTCAAATAGTGTGTGCACTAGGAGGATTAAATACTTTTTTTCAAAATTCATGGTTTTTCCTTGACAACGTTATGATAATGAATTCCTATGAGATTCGCTATATTTTTCCTGTAATCTACACACCAAAATACATATGTGTACCAAATTTCAGCCCTCTAGATAAATTCGTGTGGCCGCTAGGGGGGGGGGTACATGCCTTGCTTCACTAGTCTCATTAATAGGGTTCCCCCTTCGGGTACGGAACCCTAATAATAGGTAGGGTAGACCATCCTACAGTAGATAATTTCAATTTTTCAAAAAGAGAGTTAAAATTTTTAATTCAGTCTCATTGATAGTTTATAGGATTAGTATGAAGTATTTTGACCATGTTTAGTTGATACAATTAACTTATAGAAATGAAAAAAAGCTTATTTACAGCTTCAGCAGAAAATTAGCCTGATATATATTTGTGATTTTTATAAAAAAAAAAATATTTTTGTGGGTCAAAAATCAAAATTTATACTTTGAAAAATAATATATTTCTTTACGAACTGTTAGGTTTCATTATTTATAAATGTGACGCGCTCAGAGGAAAGGTACTTAAGAAGCAAAAAATTGTAGGTTATGTTTATGATTTTTAAAGTAAAAATACACAAAGGGAATCAATCTATCAGGCAGTATAACTTTTAATTAGTTGACAAAAAAAATGTTTCAGACAAAAGTTGTGTTCTTAAAGGGAAATAACCACTTGTGCACTTGAATTTGTCCTAAATGACCTACATTATGTCATTTTAAGGTCAACTCAATTTTTTAAGTGGAACCACCTACTTTCTATGCTAGAAATCGTTAGAGTAGGAGATTCCACGTCCATATCGGGGAAATGAACTTAAGTTAACAAATATGGAAAACCAGAGGGTCGATTATGTAATTCCATTTTCACTTGCAGTTTTTTTAATTTTCATTCCCATTTACACTTTTTTATATTCATTGACACTTTCGCACTTTTTTATTTTCATTACCACTTCTTCTTATTCCCATTTTTTTAAATTTAAATTCACACTTTCATTTTTTCTAATTTCCATCCATTATAATTTAAAGAAGTGGAAATGGATGTGTTAATAGAAATTAGAAAGAATAGAAGTCGAAATGGAAGTGGGAAAGAAAATTTCAAGAATTGATGTAGGAATGAAAATTAAAAAAGTGAAAATGGAAGTGGGAATACAAATTAGAAAAAGTGTAAGTGGGAATGAGAATTAGAAAAAGTTGAAGGGAAAATGGGATTACATAAACGACCCACTAGTTTTCCATCTTTGTTAACTTAAGTTAATTTCCCCGTAGAAATTGACTAAAATTAACCTAGACACCGGTCAGTCAGGTTAATACTGGTATTCCATATTTGTAAGTTGTGGTCAATAATCCCGAAGAAATTGACCAAAAGTGACCTTAACACCTAACACATATTTTGAGAATTCCTGGTTTTCCATCTTCGTTAATTCAGGTTAATTTCCCTCTAGATGTTTGTCAAAACTTACCAAGACACCAGGGGTGCGTTCACGTAACTCTCACTCTCACTCTCACACTCAGTCTCACTCAAATTTGTTACTCTCACATTCACTCAAAATTTTTTAATCTCTTACTATCACTCAAAAATTTTTCAATTTCACTCTCACATTCACTCAAAAACTTTTTACTCTCAATATCATCATTTTAATCCAAAAATATGATAAATTGAAATATATAAAATCTAAATTTCAGGTTTATTAAAAGTATATAGAGTCAATTGAATTTTGTATTATTTATTTAAATTTAAATTTTGTATGAATTATATTTAGTGTGGATTGAAAATTTAATAATTGTATTGTTTTTGAAAAAGTAAAAACTTGAAATTTTGTAGGTATTTAAATGTTGACAAAATGATGCTTAAATTAAAATTTTTTTTAGATTTGTTAACATATATTAACCACTTCACTACGTTCCAATTGTCGTAGAAGGAGAAAGGAGGGGGGATGGGGGTTGGCGCGCGAAGCGCGCAGGGGGCATGGCCCCCTAGTATATATATATATATATATATATATATATATATATTTCTATATTTTAGACATCAGGAAACAAGGATATGACAATAAGAATTCGGTTTTTTGAGGTTATCAATGTTTTTTTGGACGTTGAAGTCGGCAATTTTTAATACGTTTCAACAAATGGCGTTCCACTTTTACTCAATCCTTAGTCAATAAAACTCAGATTATTCATTGAAAAATGTTATTAATATACTTTCTAACTTGTAAAATGTAATAATATAACAACAACAATAATAAAAATATTATTAATATATTACATATTTCATATATGGGTCAAACCACTGAAAATCATCTGAGAGTGGTTGCCGGCTTATTTTTAAAAAATCTAGTTCTAATATTATGTTATTATGTTCTGAGTTTATTGGTGATAATATTATCGTGTAAATTTTATTTTCTTTTAAATTATTATTAATTCAAAGTAGGAGGTTCACGACGTAATTTCGTAACCTTAAATGTGAACTAAGCGTTTCAGTAATTAAGAAATGATCATATCACATTTTGTTATTTGTAAACAAGCTGTTCGTTAATTATCTATTTCATGCCTTGATACTTAATTGATCAATTTTCTGTTATAAGTATGTCAATATCCTCAATGAAATATTTTGTATACTAGGTGCACCGTTCATTTTGCAGATCGATAATGGTCGTGAATTTTTTAATAAAATTATTAAAATTTATCATCCATGTGGCCTAGGATGAAGCTTGTGCACGGTAAACCTCGATATTCTCAGAGTCAAAGTTTGGTGAAAAGATCAAATCAAGATGTTCGTGATATGTTGATGGCATAGATGGATGATAATTCTTTTTTTCAGTGATCAGAAGGACTGCGGTTTATACAAAGTAAAAAACCATTCTCTACATGCAGTGATGAAAACAAGTCCCTACGAGGCCATGTTCGGAACATCACAAAAATAGGACTAACAGATTCTACCCTTCCAGCTGATATATACGCGTCTGTAGAAACAGAAGAAGAACTGAAGCTACTTTTGTCTTCGATAAATATTAATAACGAAGAAAATACCGTAGACGAAAATCGAAATAGGGAAGTTCCACATAATTTAGAAAATGAAGATGGCGATGTAAATTGTAGAAAAAGCGTGATTTGTGAAAAACCTTTGGAGCTCAAAAGAGCTCTGATCGCAATTAATAAGTTCACATCATATGTGGGGTAAAATCTGTGAGAAAAAAAATATCGAAGCTAAAAGTGAATGTGCCAAATTAGGTCAAGAGAAGCAGGCCAAAAAATGATTCAGGGTGCACGGAACAAACAAACTAACTATTTTAGCACCAAACTGCTTATTATCCTTTAATAGTATATAAAAGCATAAAATTGATGCCCACGAAGTACGACATATAGTCTACCTAAAATAGCAAGAGCTTCTTCCTTTTTGGTGGATAAATTCTTGCAACCTGCGTTTTGGCCTATATCGATATATCGATGGTTGGAAAGGGAGGGAGGCGTGGCCAAAACGCAGGTTGCAAGAATTTATCTACCAAAAAGGAAGAAGCTGTTGCTATTTTAGGTAGACTATATGTCGTACTTCGTGGGCATCAATTTTATGCTTTTAAAGTACGTCACTATTACTATAAGAGTATAACCATTATACTTATTTAGTACGGACTTACTTTAAACTAAAAAAACATTATTTCATACTTTAATAGGTAAACGAAATTATATACTATTAAAGGATAAAGCAGTTTGGTGCTAAAATAGTTAGTTTGTTTTTTCCGTGTGGCGAGTGAAAAATGTTTTCGAAATTCCCTGTCTTTTCCATGACCAAAAACAAAATTCCTTGTCTTATAAACCTATACATATTCATTAATCAATTTTCTTTTGAGAATCTTCTAATAATTTGTCTTTCTTTGTCTCTAGTTCTTCCACTTGAAGATTGATGAGTTTTTTTTACACACTAATGTATTTGCCGCTGCCGATTCTTTTCGACGTTTTTTATTGGCTTCCTTAAAACGCGAATATGCGTTTCGAACTGACAGAATCATTTCTTTATTAACATTGAATTCTTCGATTCCGCCGAGACTATTCACTGCATCATAGACGATTCTTCTAGCGACTAAAGTTTCCTCCTTCATATTTTCAATCAAACATTCAACGTTAACAGAAAAGCCGCGTTCGACGTTGGCATTTCCATGAGAAAATACATTTACCATTTGCATCACATTTCTTATGTTTTCACTGGGTGTGAATTCATCAAAAATGATCCAAACGCTGGGTTTTTCTGATAAAATCTTGCAAGTTCTTTTGAACTTTTGGTATCTTACATACATTTTTAAACTCACGTGCAGCTTTTTCAGCGACATTACCGTCAAGCCAATTTTTTCAACCAGAGTTGTTAATAAATCATTTATTCTTTTCTCTCCTAATTTAATGTCAGCCGCTACATTTGGATCGAAACAGGAAATATATTTAGTTAATTTGTACGCTAGAGGAGATCGTTCTTGTAACTTGCTAACGAATTTAATAAGACACTTTCTGCAATCTTGACGAAATTGAAGAATTTCAAGACTAGTGCAACCTTTCACTTTTTTCAAAATAGTTTTAGTGACGATTCCAAGGTTAATCTCTGCAGCTGTTAAAAGATATTTACTGTCACTTAAATCCACGTCGAGTACTGATTTTGCTTTCTTTATGACCTCAGATTTTACAAACCTTTCCATCTGATCACACATAATACTGGTGAGAGCGTTGTACAAAAACGGAGCTAGAGGTAAATCTGTCTGAAACTCAGTCAGAAATGGTTCAAGATCTTGCGACAATGATTTGAAAAATGTTAACTTGGCTGGCAACAAAGAATCGTTGCAGAATTTTATAAGAGTTTTGAAGCTATTACAAGTTGGGGGTTTCGAAGATTTGTTAACTTCACCAGTGTACTTAATAATGTCAGGTAATATTTCTAAAGCCCGCTGTGCGACATTCTCATTATTTAGCCATCGAACTGAACAAAATTTGAGTGGAAAAGAATGACTCTTTGTAATTTCAGTAAACATTTGTCGCCTGGATGGAACATCTTTGAAGAAATTGTAGAGTGCTCTTAAAAATTGTACTAGGTCCCAGCCTGTTTGCTTAAAGCCGCTCTTAAAAGATCCACTTGTAGTGTGAAACCCACAACTACCACTTTCCAACATTTTAGGGTCATTTTTGTCAGGTGCAATATGGCCTTTTACATCTCTAAGGAACTTTAAATTGACATATGGGCCGTCCAAGGAAATTTGTAATATCTTTTTTGTTGTGAGAGGAGATACACCATTTAAAAATGCAATTATTAAATCAGAGGCTCTACAACGCTCCAAAAATACTGAAGTGAGAAATCGCGGTCTAACTTCATCATACTATTTTTTTCCAATAGCGAACATTTATATCCATTTGCTGCTTTTGAGCAATTTTATTGAGCGCTTCATCAAATCCAATTGTAAAAAAATCACATTCCATTACCTCAGTAATCAATTCATTTTTAAAATATGGTGCCAAGCCGAACACAATCGAATAACCAATTTTATCTTGCTGTAATTGCATTTTTCGCGTTATCAAACTATCAGTAAACATCCGAGAGAAAAGTCTAACATCTCGCCCTCCTGAGCGTAATGATTTGTGCGTCATGACACATTCAATGACCCACAATATTTCTGCTTTCGTGATATCATCTTTAATTACAAATCCATCGAGTAGTTTGGCACTATTGACAGTTTTTTCACCTTGCCCTGCAACTATCGCGGAAGACTGAGAAAAAGACGGTAAATTTCCAATTTGTATAATTTGATCTGGAGAATTTATTAAAGCAGAGTTGTTAATTGTCGATGTTAAATTCCTTGAGGAAGCACTGTCAGATTCTTGGTGTTTTTCGAAAAAAAAATTAGACAGCGAAATCACATTAGCTTCAGCATTTATAGATTTTCTGTGCTTGTCATTTTTCATATGACTGGTCAGAGCTCTTCTTCCCATATTACTCAAATTAATTATTTTCGGACACTTGATACATTTTGCTTCAAAAACATTACTTTCAACTTTTGTCAGCCAAGGTTTAAACTCTGGATCAATTAGCTATTGAATTTGAAATGATGTTAATTTACCTTGAGTCATATTTCAAACACTTTAATCCTATAAAATAAGGTAATTTAACTATAGATTTTATTGTAATAGTAAAGTAAGATAAAAATTTCTAATTTTCAAAAAGTAGTTTTTACATCGAACACTATAAATTTTTTTTAAATATTACCTATAAACGATTCATATTTGTATCAAAATCTATAAAATTGACATATTTTCTGGCGTTATGTACCACTTCTAAACTAGGTTATATAATTTCACACACCATATTAACCAATTATTACCTCACTTTAAAAGTAGTAAATTTACCGAAAATGGAAAATTGTTAGATACATTTCCACTTAACATAACCTCATTGAATATTCCAATTTTACAGACTTTGATACAAAATAAACAAAATGTTAGTGAAGTATATTTTTAACCTTTACTTCATTTACCGATTTCTTTAAATATAAAATAAATATATAAACTGCATTTCACTTCACGCTTCACAAATAAAGTTAATAAATATGTAAACACATAAGTGGCAACTAAATTATAATATCTCTATTATCATGTTATTGCTTCAGGTTGTTTAAACTAAAGAACCCATATTGCATAGCACTAAGATTGGAAAACACTGAGTAAAAATTTACATAAAGGCGCTATTGCATGTTTAAGTTTCACATGTTTCGATTTGCATTCGTTGTTTCCTCTCTGATGAAAAAAGAAAAGTGCAACGCACCCTGCGGACGATTTTAGAATCAATGTTTTCTTCAAAGCATGAGTATTTAATCCAATCCCACTACCACTAAAGTTGCTTATTTCATAGCAAATGCAAAATTGTCAAAAAATAGGTTAGCAACGACATTTTAATCACAGTCGCGTAAAAATTCCCTGTCTTTTCCCTGATCATTAAATTTCCCTGTCTATTCCCGGTTTTCCCGGACGCTCGACACCCTGTAATTAGTTTTGTTTTTAGTATAACTCAAAAACAAGAGCAAGTCTGACTATTCTGACTTCGGATTCAGCAGCGAAAAATACTTGGGAATACACTAGTGTAGTGTCTCGGCCAAAATACTTTTTTGTGTTCCTGTGTTATTTCTTCGCTGAATTGAATACTTTGAAGCTATGGAGGTGTCGAGAAGTGAACTTACAATCAGTAGGTAATATGGGTGGATTAATGGATCGATACAGATTCGTAATTTTTAAATTTGTTACTTGGGGGTCGTGCACATAATGCAATTTACACTTGGTTCCATACATTAGCGCCATTTTTTCTATGGATCGTCACAAATCTTTAGACCCCCCCTCCCCCTGTTCGCGTGACGTATTATGTGCACGACCCCTTGGAAGTTATGTACAAAAAAAATTATTTCTTTTTTTGTTTAAATAAAGTCTTTGACATCAAGATGATGTCAAATTAAGCGTCCCAAACTTTGTGAAAAATGTAAAATTTTTAGTGTTTCATTTAAATTACCTTAACTTCCTGGAATTCAGCTGATGTATTTGGATTGACGGCAGGAGCAGGTTTACAAAGATCATCTGCTTGTGCCTGAGGACGCTGTGCCGATCGCCATTTGCTTCGTTTTTCTAAAAACTGTCTCGCGAAATCCATGCAGCATCTATCGTCGCCCAAATAAAGACGCACATATTCTTTAACCTCATATGCAGATTCAATGTCCCGCAGAAATCCAATGAACGTTGGAACTGTAAATAAAAATTATCATTAAATGAATATACCAGAAAAGTTGTTGGTGAGAATAAGACAATTTCGACAGCGAAATTAGAATAATAAATTGAAATGTTGCTTACTATCTACAGAAACTTGTAGTCCACCGAGTGCTTTGTTACACCACTGCGTAAAGTCATCAGGCTTGGCAGTGTTTTGCTCAAAGAGCTTTTTCACGAGTTCCTCCTCCCGTTTATTCTTATTCTTGGTAGCCTTGTTATTAAGCTGTTGAACTTGAGGTTGTGGAACGGGAATCACTTTAATGGGTGCAGCTTTAACAGACTGCTTTGGCGGAGCATTCGACTTGGCGGGAGCGATATCGTCCCAGAAACCGCCTGTATTACTGGCACTGGCCCAAGCTTGACTCCCGGAACTCGTCGAATTGGCCCAAGTCAACGATTGCGAAGCAGTTCCCCAAATGCCAGCATTTTGCAGAGAAATAGTCGGCTCTTTTGGGACAGTTTTCTCCTGCCTCTCGCGCTCTTTGGCGATGCGTTCCTGTTCCTCCTGTTGTATTTGCGCCAAGCTCTTCACCTGTGGCTGCTTATTGGAAGCGGCCGTTTTCTCCGCCCACTTGAACTGCAGACGCTTTGAAGAATCCATTGGCACTGCTTCTTGTGCAGCTTCGAGTGCTTTCTGTTGTGCCACTTGCATTTGCAAAATTTGCTGGAATCGTTGTTGTTCCGCCTTCTTTTCCCGTTCATGTTTTTGAATTTCGGCGAGAGACGAGGCTTGAGCGACTGGCGTCGCCGCTTGAGCCCACGGTGCTTTGCTGCGCTCTTGCAATTTGCGCAGTGCCTCCTGTTCTCGTCGTCTTTGCTCAGCTTTTCGCGCCTGTTCTTCCGCCTCGGCTTTGCGTTGCAATGCCTCTTCCTTCTTTCGTGCTTCCTCTTCTAATCGCCTTTGCTCCTCTTCCAATTTCTTGCGTTTCTCTTCTTCCTTCCTCAATTTCTCTTCTTGTCTTCGAACCTCTTCCTTTCGCTTTTTCTCCTCCTCCAGTCTTTTTTTAATTAATTCCTCTTCTTGCCTTCGTTTCTCCTCTTTCTTTCGCTCTTCTTCTTTACGTTTCTTTTCCTCTCTCTTTCTTAATTCTTCCTCTTTCAACTTTTCCTCTTCAATGCGCTTCCTCTCTTCCTCGATCCTCCTCTCCTCCTCGATTCGCTTCTTTTCTTCCTCGAGTCGTTTAGCCTCTTCTGCTTTTTTCGCTCTCTCTTCTATATGTTGTTTCAGGACCTCATCATTGTGTCGTTTTATCTCTTCTAATAATTTCTTCATATCCTCTTTCTTATCATCTTGTTGTCTAAGTTTTTGCTCTTCCTGTAAATATTTATTAAATTTGGTTATTATTAATTATGTAATTATTCAAAAGACACGTGCAATATATTAGCAACACTATTTTGTTTTTTCAAAAAAATAATTTTTGTGCTAATTTGTATTGCAAACAAGACAATAACAAAACAAAATTCTCTCAACTTGCATAATTTAACACAAATTATTTATTGAAAAATAATAATGTTCCCATACACTAAAACGTCAATCGAGAACAGACGAATATGCAGTGCTGTTCTCGATTGACGTGATTTTTATCGCTCGAAAATAAAAACACTCAGGGCCGTATGAAGTGCCTTACGCAACAATGTGAATTTTATCTAGGGGATTTTCACTAGTGGGGCACTGAATCCACCTTAAATTTAAAAATCACAAGTACGACTTTGGCGTCAGTCATAACCTAAATTCTACCCGCTTCCCCACTTCCCCTCCAGTGTTCCTTTGCTCTGTTTTCGACTGACGTGTTCTCGATTGACGTTTTAGTGTATTTCTAGATCAAAAAATTAGTTCTTAAATTGAATTATTTTGAATAATTCATTGTTAAAAATTTTGAAAATTTGTGTTAGAATTTCTTTTTGTACTATCTAAATTTAAATCAGTTGTATACTTATAGCTGAGAATCAGCGAAATTTCGCTGATTCAAATGTACAGAGTACTTTTTTTTGGACAATTTTATAATTTTAATTTCATGTAAGTTGCATTTTTGTGAGATTAAAAATGTTTTTTAAGTCCTCATTATTATTTTTTCAAAAAAAATTTAACTGCATTAATTAGCACAAAATTAGTAGAGATGGACACAAAAATAATTTTTTTAAAAAGCAAATTCGCATTGCGAATTTCTTGCACTTTCAAAAGATAGGATAAATTTATTGGTTACCTAATTAATTCTCAAAATTTTTTAAACCAAATAGAAGTAAAATAATTTTTTGAATGTGAAACATTTTTTCATAAATTTAATAAGTTTTATAATTTATTTAAATTACTTATTAGGGTCCACCCATAAACTACGATACCAATTTTTCATTATTTTTAGACCCCCTCGTTAAATGTATTTTTATAGACTTTTTGACCCCCTACCCCCCTAAAATAAGTAACGTAGTTTATAAATGGCCCCTTACTTAAAATGTTTGCTTTTTAATTGTTTTCTGCTTAAGCAGTCTTTTCTTTTTCATATGAATTCGCTTATTAATTATTTATCACTGTACTAGAATCGGAAACTTTTTTTTAAATAAACTGCACACCTATCAGATAAACCTAATTCGAGTACGCTGAAAAAATTCAGTAGTATGAGCCGTTTTACTTGATTGATTCAGTTGAAAATGTGAACTAGGAGTTTTTTGTGGTTAGTTATTAAAAATTTGACGTCAGTTAAGAGAAATAAGAAATTATGGATTCAATATAGAGAAGGAATTTTTAAAAATTTATAGGATGCACTTGATAGGTTTACTTGATAGGTTTCAAGATTGTTCAAATTTTCAACTAGCATTATGTGACGTTGATGTCACTTTATTTTATAGTTTACTTTCTAATTAATTCAGTAAAACTCACTAAATTATATCAAAGAACAAACATAGTCACACTTACTAATATTTGTTGCTCAGTCTTAATGTCTTTGCCGTGCATATCCCACAATGAATTGGGCATATGTCCAGGTGGCATTGCAGGTATTGGCCCAACCTAGATAATAAAATTAAAAATTACAAAACTAATTTAGAAAAAAAATTCAAATTAAATTAAAGTCTAGAGTGGGCACAGCAAAATTGTAAACATTAGATTGTATACTTTAAAACTGGTATTAAAGTATATGCCGTTAAATTCTACACAGACTAAATATCGTACAATCAATTAATTATGAAATTGACTTGTTCCGTTTTTAAAAAAATTTGAAAAATTAAAAATAGTTTTCATAACAAAACGAAAAATAATCAAATTAATAATTAATATTAAAAATAAAAAGCATAATTTAAAAAGAGAAGAAAAACAATTAAAAGAATTATAAAAATAAAGTAACCTGTGTCAGCCAATTTTGTGCATTGAATGGAGTGGCAATATGAGGTGGTGGCTGGGGCCAAACGGAATCAACCGGAACTTGCGGATGTCCATTCGCGTGAACGTTCATTTGTTGGTTGTTTCTTTCCTGCATCATCTGCAAAAACCCAAGTGGCGCTGAATGTGCTGAATTTGTCTGATGACCGCTTGCCGCCATGTGATTCTCCAATTGCGTCTTTGTCTAAAAACGAAAAGCGAATATTTTTTTCCCTTATGAAACAACAGCTGAACAAATTTTGGTTTCATTTCCGGAATTCGACTCGAATTACCGACCTGCATTTGATTGAACAATTGCATCACAGGATTTGGCGTTTGCGTTGTCAACGGCGTGACAAATGGATTGTGATTCATTTGCATGTCCGACAATTCCGATTCTTGAATGACATACTGTAGTATTAATTGATTCTGCTCAACTGGGCTCAACGATGCCCAATGTTCCGACTGCGAAAGTTTCGCGATCGCCATTTGCCGAAGAAACACTTGATTTTGCATTACTTGAAGCCTCTGATATTGAAGTAACAACATCGAATCGTCAATCGCTGGTTTTGGTAAATTGCTGCCAGGCATTCCCGGTAATACTGGATTCGGGACGCCAGGAATTTGACCCGATAACTGAAAAATTTCATTTTTTCATCATAATTTTTGAGAAGAAGTATTCAATAAAAATAATTTATACAGAAATCCAGGCATCGGATCGACTTTAGGGCGTTGAAAAAGTCATTTTAGTTGATTTTTTAAATTTTAATAAATTTCATATAATACATATTTTATTTTTATTAACCATTGTTATTAGGTATTAAAAATAAATTTAAATAATTCCTTAATAAGAATAATTACATGGGAATTTATCAAGCAATATTATGCAGGTGATATTTCAAAATTGAACTGAGAAAAATTTTCAAGAATTTCAAAATTTTTTTATTTATAACAAATATGAAAGTAACTTTTTTAAAAAATATTTCAAGCTATGATTTATTTAAATTTCCTATTTATGAATTCGGAATTTTGTCAAAGTATGAAGTTCAAATGGTTTTAAAAAATTACTTTTTTTAAAAATTAGATAGTTTATGAGAAATAGAAGAATTTTTATCTAAAAATTTCTTAAATAATTAAATTTTAGAAAAACTTGATAAACTTAATTGATTAATATTATTGAAAATGATTAATTTAGCGAAGAATTTTAATGTCTTTAAAAATAATTATATTTTGTAAGATTAGCATATTTACTTTTAAAATAATTGAATTACAAGAGATTTTAAATTGAAATTTCTATAAAATTGAATAACTCAAGATTTTTTTTTTACAAATCGCCAACAATAATTGAATATAACCAAATTTTTGATTATATAATTGAATTTTAGAAGAATCACATTAAAATTATCAAAAATAATAATTAACTTGATGAAGAATTTTAAATGATAATTGAGTTTCAAAAGAGCTACAGACCTGATTTTTAGAATTACAAATCAAATTTCAGGAGATTTTGAAATGAAAATTTTGTAAATTTTAATTGATGAAGATTTTTTAAAAATATTTTTAGGTAATAATATTGAATATAGGAAATCATAAGTAAAGTGATTAAAAGAGAAAAAAAAATTTTCTCCATCGCGCTCAAACTTGGGTGATTTGTTACTACAAATGAAATTTAAATTTTGATAAAAATATTTTTTCATTTAGTCCAATATTTTTCGAGGAGGAGGGGGTGAAAGTTTTTCAGTTTTACGGTACACCGCATATTTTTAATACTTTTTTCTTAAGGAGGAATCGGACAGATAGTCTGAACAAAAGTTAGTCCAAATGCGTTATTTCGATTATTGAAATAGAAAACACATATTTTAGTATAATTTTTTTCAGACAAAGTGTGCAGAATTATATTTTAAATAAAATGAGTCATTGAAAATTCAAATTGGATGAAAATTTAAAAAACTTGACATTTCAAAACGATTTTATAATTTGAATTCAAACAGACAATCGTTTCGAAATGTCAATTTTTTAAAATTTTCATCTAATTTCAATTTTCAATGACTCATTTTGTTTAAAATATAATTCTGCACACTTCGTCTGAAAAAAATTATACTCAAATATGTTTTCTATTTCAATAATCGAAATAATGCATTTGGACTAACTTTTGTTCAGACTGTCTGTCCGATTCCTCCTTAAACATTAAAATAAAAAAATTTTCTAAATATCAGTTTTGAAAGTTTTTTTTGATGCTCTTTCGATTGGCAATATGCATTTTTGAAAAACATTTTTTTTTGTAATCGATAGCTGAGGTTTTTCCCTACAAAAATATATAGTTGAAAAAATAGGAATAGAATGTTTAAATATTGAAAAATAGTAAAAAAAATCATTAAAAATAGCCAAAAATGGTAAAAAAAAGCAAAAAATGTTAATCATCAATATTTAAATATTCTAGTTCCACTTTTTTTAAAAACAATTATTTTAATATTTAAGAAAAAAATAAATAATTAGAGAAAAAAGCCATTTTTTCCTCTTTGACCACTTGACGTGATATCCCCCATATTAGAGAATATGTATTTAATTAAAGAATGTTTTAAATAATTAACTTTTAATTTTATTTTGTAGAATAAGTCGAATAACTCATAATGATACATTTTTCAGCGAATTAAAAAAATGTAGATAAATTTGAATTTTAAAATATTGAAAGCAAAAAAATTTCGATAAACTTACTTTTAGTGGGGGAAATAGAGGTCCGGGCTTAAATGGAACTCGACCGCACATATTCATCAAATCTCCGAGTGAAGCGTATCTTTCATCGCAAGTTCTCCTCACGAGTAAACTTGCCGAGAAGTAACCTTGCTTCCACCATTCGGCCATTTCATTGGCCAAAAATGGACCCTGAACTTCACCCTGTGGATCACGGTAAAACCATTTTTCTAAAACACTGGAATTATCCAAATTTGGAATTGAATTTGAATCCGAAGGATTGACGTGTTCGCCTCTGTGGCCACCGTCTTCCGACATCAACTTGGCAACCAGAGCATCCGCTTCCTCATCCATTCTATCCAAATGCTCGTCCATTTTCTGGTTCATTTGATTCAAGACATTTGGAGAATTAATAAAGCCCGTCATTTTTTGGGGAGGCTGTCGACTCATTAGTATCACAGCAGGATCCATATTTAAATTCTCCTCATTGTTCTCCTGGAACTTGTTTTCAATGGGTTTCATGTCCAGTGCTGGATTTCTATCGCCATCGCTTAGTTTTTCACTAGGTGCCTCGGTAGGTAGTGCTTTTCTGGACGGGAAGTTCTCAAGATGAGCTTTAGATTCGGGCGTGGGTGGTGGAGCTTTCAACGTCGCACTGCTATTCCTGGATCTCGGCGGCGAGAGACTTGGTCTCTCTTGACTAACAGGCACGCCGCCTTTATCCTCGAACGGATGCAGCGACTTGGGTCGTTCTTTAGTTACTGCATTGGTGGTCGTTGCCGTTGTTATCGTCGTCGTTGACGTGTACGTTTGGCGAGTGGTCGATTGATCCTGCGTTGTATTTTTATTATTCTGCTTCGACGCATTTCCTTCGGACACTTTGCGCGATTTCGGCTCGTGAGAACCATCTCCAGTTGTACCCCCATCTTCGTCATCGTCGGAATACATTCCTCCATGGAACGCGCCCGAAGCATCGAAACTTCCTCCACTTTCACTTGGATTTTCAGTCGCCCTGTAAAAAGAAACGTTTTCATTTCGCTTTATACAATCGCTAGGAATGTATGATTTTATCGAATTTCTTTTTACAATCTCTGACAAATATTCGCTCTCGGTTCAGGTTTCGTCATCGCACTCGAGGTAAAAAATCCTGCGATCAACAGAGTCGCATTTTTCCACCGAATGCTAAACTATAGCTAAGGTTCTTCATTGATTGCGTTCATTGACTCAAAGTGTTGTCAAATATTGTATTTTCTGAGATTAAGCAATTTGAAATTTACCATTCCGGGAGGTTGTCGTGGTTGTCATGGTGATTAGGATCCCAAGGTCTGCGAGATGGAGGATGATGGGATGCATCATAAGGACCTCTATGATTTCCTCTGTGCTCCCAACGTCCCGTATTTCGATTTTCCTCACCTTCCCCATCAGCTTTGTCCTTATCCAAATATCCACCATCTCGCCAATTACCTTTGCCTAGGAAATGAACTTCAAATTAAATTCATTAAATCAACACGCTAAAATTATTTTAGAAAAATGAATAAAAAAAATAATAAAAATTTAAAAATTAAATTAAAAATTTTCTTATCCAGTCGATAGAGTTACAGATAATTTTAGTTAGTTATTTGAATGAAATACAGATTGGAACAATTTGTTTAATTACTTCAAAAGAAATTAATTTAAATATTCTTTACAATTAAATTGAAAAATTACTTTTATTTACCATGCGTGTGAAGTTGGCCCCCCACTTTTGAAAACTTGAATTTATTTATGCATTTATTTACCTCCCCATTTTTCTCCACGACTATTGGAAGTAACCCTCCAGCCGTCGTCATCCTCACTGCCACCTCGATGACGACGCCAATTACTTTCCATGAGGGAACCTCCACTAGGTCCACGACCTAATTCTTTTCGTGGACTTGTAGAACCATTCCACTCGCCTGGATCCGCAATCCCATTTCTTTCTGACCATCCTCGTTCACTTTGTGATCTTTCGAATGGTCTGCTTCTTGCCTAAATTTTCCATCAAATAGTTTCAATTTTTTTCATAGTCGTAATTTTCAAATTTTTATAAATAAAATACAATAGAAATACAAGGAACAGAATTATAATAATAATTTTAACTTTCATTTCTTTGAGTTTAAATTATTAAACTAGATGTAAGCATTTTGGTCGATTTCATCCACTTTAATGGGTATCAAAGCTTTACACAAATTAATTTATAAGTTATATCTTATATCAATATTAATTTTTCATAAGTTACTTGTAATTATAATGTTAATCAACTAACGTTAATTGACTTTGAAGTGTAGTTAAAGAATAAAATTTAATAATACAAAAAAGTCATTTTAGACCATTTACATTCCAAAAAATTGCAATTTTTAAAGAAATATTACAATTATAAAAATAATTATATTTTAGAAGAGTTAAATGTTTAAAAGTAATTTCAAGTTTTAGCTGGAAAATCTTAAAAATAATTAAATTTTATAAGATTTTTTTGGTAATTTTATTTGTTGATTTTTAAAAAAAATTTAAACAATTATTGAATTTCATAAAATTTTAAATTGAAAAATAGTTTAAGATAATTGAATTTGTGAAGAATTTAATTAAAATTATTGAAAATAATTAATTTCAAAAAGAATTTAAGTTAAAAATTGGTTAAATAATTAAAATAAAGAAGATCTGAAGAAGATCTACTTTGTATACTAAAAAGACGTAGTTTGTTAAAAAATTTTGTAAAAAAAAATGTAGAAAAAAGTCAAGAAAGTCGCATAATTCCAGGCCTATAATATTTGATAAAATGATAAAATTTAACGACAAAGTATAAATAGTCTCACAGAAAAAGGTTGTGTCTCGCTTCTAGTTCCGTCTCCTGATTCCTCGTAACCACGTGAATAGGAAGAAGAGTATAGACCACCTCTTCCGATTCTTCCACGCCCCCCACGATCAACACTACCACCTCTTCCTCGACCAGGCGTGCTTGTTATTCCACCATTCCACAGTCGCTAAAAATACAATTTCAGATTAAAGCAACTTTTTTGTAAGTAAAGTCAAATGATGTGTTGGATATTTCACATACAAGTAATGCGTAATTTGGTAAATAAAACTATCATGTTGGCTTTACTTAAAAATTATAAAAGAAATTTTAATATTATGAAAAAAAAATGAAAGGAAATATATTGCTGCATTGAAAGCCTGGCACAAGGGCTCCAGAATGATGTATTTTTAGACTGCAACCAAGTATGACACACTTCTAAGAGTTTTAAATACAATACGGACACAATTATCAGAAATTAAAATTAAAAATTTTAATTACATTATTAAAAATAAAAATTTATTCAACCCGAACTTTTTTCAATTGACTTACTTTACCAGGGTTACCACAAGAATAAATATTTCCATTTCCTGACATTAAAAAATTTTCCCCGACAAACATTTTTTATTAAATGTAATAAATTATAAAAGAAATCTAATAATTTGAAAATACAAAATCGCCAATTAACATGTAAATTGTATCTATTCAAATTTTTAATCAATGATTAATATTTACACTTTAATAGTTTAAAATTTGAGTGAATTGAACTTTGGTTAATTTGAAACTTAAATCAATAAAAATTTAGGCAAATTAATTTAAATTTAGATAAATAACACAGGTCTACAAAATAAGACTTTTTTTTAGTTGTTGAAGTGGTTTCCAATGTATTTTTGTGTTCTAAACATGCTCCCGGGTTCCAAAGTTGCGTATCACGTCAGGATTTTGAGTAAAGAGGGGATAGAGTCTCCGAAAACAGTGTTTTTAAGACCCATATACATAATATTAAAAAAAAAATTTGAAATTTTAAAAAAGCTGGGGGTTAATACCCCAAAAACCGTGTTTTTAAGGTAAGTGTTTTCAGTATTTTTTTCTCCTTAACCAGATGTGATAGTCTTCTATATAGGCTTAAATTAAAGTTTAAAACGTATATTTTAAGTCCCATATGCGCATAATAAAATTTTGTTTGAAATTTTGAAAAGATGGAGGTAATGACCCGAATAATCTTTTTGGGTTATTTGAATCTAATTTTTTTTTATCTTGCGCATATGAGTCTTAAAGTTTAAGATATAAGCTTTAATTTAAGCCTATATAGAAGTGTCTATCACGTCAGGTTAAGGAGAAAAAAAATACTAAAAACCCTCAAAAACACGGTTTTTAAAGACTTTACCCCCACTTTACTCAAAATCCTGACGTGATACACAATTTTGGAACCCGGGATCGTGTTCAGCACACAGAAATACATTGGAAACCACTTTGATATTTCCAAAAAAAAAAAAAAAAAAAAAAAAATACCTTGTAGACTTGTGTAATTTGAAACTTAAATCAATTAGTCTTTAGATAACTGAGAAAAATAATAATGTAATGTTAACAAAATAATTTGGTGGAGCACTTTTAGTTAAGATTACAAAAATTTAGTTGACATAACAGTAACGAAAGAAGCAATCAATCGAGAAATTTAGTTGGCTGTACCAAAAATTTCGTTCAAGCTTTTGCGTCTGTTAACTGAATAATTTGGTTCTCCAAACCAAACCGTCTGAATGCTCAATTGCGCATGCGCTGTTCTCGTAAATATGGCTTATTTCTCTGTTTACGGATGTCACACGTTAACCATGCTTCGCTCTTCGTGTCGTCCAGTTTTATTCAAGTGTTTTCGGGATTTTTATGTGTTTCAGAAATTCGGTAAAAAAGTGTGTGTAGTGATGCATATCGAACAGAGAGAATAAAGCTTGTTAAAAGAACGGAAGTTTTTCTCCAGCCTGTATACTTTATGAAAATAATTTACACTCTCATTGTCACTAGGATTCTTAGTGTAGTGGTCAGCCTTCTTGATTTGCGTTGCGTAGTCTGAGAGTTCGATCCCCAGCAGTGTTAGGTTTTTCCGCAATAGAAATTAATTTAAGTAGACATTGGGTGGTAGGTAATATAAAGCGAAAAGAATAAAAGAGGATAACAAAAGTGATAAAATTAAGTGAAAAATAAAAAATATAAGTGTGAGCCAAAAAATAATTTGGTTGAGAAAAGAAAAAATTTTTTTTCATTTAACTAAATTTTTTGTTTGCTTAAAAACAATAAGTTAGTTGAGCAAAACAAAAAATTTGGCAGACCGAACAAAATGATTCAACGAAAAAATTTAGTAGCCCGAACCAAACGGATTAGTTGCACATATATCAAATAAAAAATTTGGTTTGGAGAACCAAACTTCAGTAGATGATACCAAACAGTTTTCTCAGTGATAGATTAAAATTTAGTTAATTTTAAATTTCTGTCAATTGAATTAGCATTTGACGTAAAAATTGGTTTTGATCAATAAACATTATAATTAATTAAAAATTGGAAAAATTTAAATTAAAATTGAATCGAAATTTGGATTGATAAAAATTTAAACAAATTTAAATTTGGATAAATTGAATTTTGGATTGATGATTGATTAGAATAAAAATAAATTTAAATTTACATCGTGTACAATTTTAATGAATAAATGAAATGAAATAAAAATTGTCCTAAATAATTTTTAAATCGATGAAAAATTTTGATAAATGCGAACTTGGGTCAATGGAATCTTTTATGGAAATGATTAAAATCTGTATTTTTGTATTCTCTAAATTAATATAATATCAAGAATTTTACGGAAGGAGAATAAAATCAATTAAAAATTCAGTTATATATTACAATCAAGTATATATTGTAGTAAACAAAAAATACTTTTTTTGTATAAAAAATTAAAAAGGGTGTTGTTGATGATTGATGATGAGATATACAAGTGTACTACCCGAAAAAACTTGAGTTTTTGAGCTAGATCAAAAAATTAAACAACATTTTGGTAAAGAAAAAAAATTAATTTTTTTAAAGGTCTAAAGTGGCCTAACCACTTAAATTAATATTTTCACATTATAAATTTAATTATTTTTTGAATATTACAATCGCAAATTAATCGATCTACAGAAAGGTGAAAAAAGTAACAAATTATTAAAATAAATGAAATAGGTGACAAAATTTTAAGTAGGTGATGATAGCCTGTGATTCGTTTTAGAGGCAAAAATTGTTAAAACTTTTTACGTATACAGAAAATATATAATTGAATTTTTCTGTAAATTAGTTCAATTTCCTAACTTTTCCTAACAAAAATGTTTTTCCCTGACTTGTGGCTTCTCTGTTTAATTCACCCTATTCTCATTCTTGTATGTACACATTTTTATTTCTATTTTACTTTTATTTAGTTTATATTTCTCCCTTGTTTCACAAGCAAGCACAAAAATACCGCGAATTTGTTTCTGATTTCACAAATTCCAATTTATTTAAATTTTGTCATACTTAAATGTAAAAATTTTAAGTATGAAAAATAATTTTAAAAAATTGCTTACCAACTCATCCTCTGTCATTTGAATTAAAGCCAATGGTAGTTGGACTTTGTCGGCAAATATAGCTCCGAAACTTGATAATGTTTCAGGCGGTTTATAAGTACGGTCGAAAAGAGCTAACATTTCTTCTCGACCATATCTATGATCAGCTAGCTGATACCGAGGAGCAGTTAGGCTTGTCAAACCACCACCACCACCCCCACCGGCACTGCAATTGTCTCCTGCTAGATTGCGCAACCTGAACACGTAGAACATATATTGCATTGTTTTCATTTTTCAATTCAAATACCCGAGAACTGCCTTTTCAAATTTCTACATTCCTATTATCACGCAAATTTAAATATTTACACTTATTATTTATTTCCATTCAAAAATTTTTATTTTATTCTTTCATGTTTAAAGTTGTCATGTTTTTATATTAATTTGTATTTATTTAAATGGTTAAAAATAAAGTTATTCAATTTCGTTTCATTATTTTTTCAACATTTAAATATATTATAAAAACACTTTCAAATTATCTAAACAAAATTTGTAATTATTTCATTAGTAAGTTTTAGAATTAATTTGTGATTCCTTTTTTGTTATCTATATTCAAATAAGATTATTAGATAAGTTATAACCGATTTAGATAAACAATGGTAAAAAATCAAATATACTATTTAGGTATAAAAATAAATTTCAGCTAAAAATAATTTTTTTTTTCATTTTTGTGTAAACTTTCCTTTCGTATTTTTTTTTTTAAATTTCCTTATCATTTCAAAACTATTTCATTAAAACATTGGTTATATAATCATTCAGTCAAAAATCTTTTAAAGGCTCGTGTGTTGACGATCCTATTACATTAAATTAAATAATAGGATTGAAGACAGCTTTACTCGAAATAAACCGAGCAAATACATGAATTCCCAAGCTACATATAAACAAATTTGACCAAAAATGAAATTAACAAATATATTAGTTTGAATTATTCCGTTAGAAAAAAATACATATTACAATAACCTACCATTCTGGGCCAAACTTCAGGGAATCCGTCATGATGCTCTACTTCTACAACAAAATTATAATTTAAAGTATTATTTAATAATTTTTAAACAATTGGAGTAAGGAAAAAAATTATTTTTACGTTATTACAAAACGCAATTTCATTGGAATCATAAAAAAAAATTTTAAATGATTAACAAAGTAAATAATTTTTCAATCTCTTTCTTTTATTTTTATTATAAATAATTTCGGATATAAAACTCATTTTTAGTTATTAAAAATTATTTTATTACACAAACAGTTTATTTATTTAGCAAATCTGATAAATCTAAATATTATAAAATCGCAATAAACTTTATTCAATACCGACTAAGATTGTGGTTAAATAATGTGATACCATCTGTTAAAATAATGTAAATGCCATAAAATACACTAAAAAGGATTGTTTATTGTTGGGAAAAAATCAATAAAACATGATTTACTTCATACCGAAAAAAGTAAATACAAAAAAAGTGTAACTGAGAAAGAAAATTTTTTTGTAAATATTGTCTGAAACAGTATTACTAAAATGAACATTTTCCATAGAATGGTAAATGGCCATGAAGCAGAAAATTTATCTGCTACAATTTTTAATGGCGAAATGCATATTGTTTGTGAGTAATTAGAAGAACTCCTAAAGAAAGAATAAACAAAAACCCCAACTTTTCTAGACTGTAATTGTGATGATAACTAAAAGCTTTTATTTACGACATGTTTTTTATTAAAGCAATTCCCGTGAGCCAAGGTGGCAGCGTTAACCACACTTTTTTTCGGCAAAAAAACCAAGTTAATTACCTGAACACGATGTATTAAACGACAAAAGAAGTTGATCCAAAAACACTTTGGTTTTAAATAATTTGCGAGCGTAGATACAACGTGAATAAAGTGCAAGAAATATCTTATTTCACTTCAAAATCACTCTACGAACAATACAATACACCAATATGGCTGACAGCTTTTTGGGACAGTCCAGGACAAGCTGGGACATTCACAGAGATGAGATACTATGAGATCGTATAAACAAGTCCGGAATCTTGTAATAGTTCGCGGGGTCTCCGTGTGATACCCGAGGGCGTATATTGGCGAATCAAACCGACAATGGCGCCGTCCTGGTGCATAGCGGAAGGACTAGATTTAGTGGAAACAAAATTTTTAAAATGCATGGAAAAGCGAAAAATTATTTTAATAATTAATTTACTAATAGTTATTTCACTCCATTAGTGAATTAATTATTAAAATAATTTTTCGCTTTTCCATGGATTTTAAAAATTTTGTTCCCACTAAATCTAGTTCTCTTGCTATACACCAGGACGGCACCACTGTCGGTTTGATTCGCCAATACCGAAAACTTGTGAGCGTTTGATGAGAATTTAAAATATTTTTAAAAAATATAAAGAATAAATTAATTTTAAATATATTATATTAAATAATTATAATTTGCAAGCGTGACACATGAGTTAGAAAAGGACAGAGATATATTCGTGTCCTTTTCTATCTCATGCATCTCGTTCGCGAACGACTTTCCTGAATCTATTGTGCGTTGGCCTTATTGCTGAAGAATCTATAAGGCCGTTTCCGAATTGGGATTTTTAGCACATTTTTGATAAAGTGTATACTCGGGATGTATGCAGTGTCCTTGTTTTTCCGTGCGAAAAAAAGGACACTGCATACTTCCCAAGTATACACTTTATCAAAAATGTGCTAAAAATTCCATTTCGGAAACGGCCAAGGTCATAAGTGTAAAGGCGGTTCCAGAATAGGTGCAAAAGCCAAGTATTGGGATCTGAAATACTGCGATACGCCATCTGGTGACGACCCCGTTGTGTCAGCCATTTTTCGTTTCATCCTTTTTAAAATATATGTAGAAGAAAGAGATAAAAAATCAAGACTACTGACGCAACGGGGTCAGTTTCCCCATAATTCCCTATGATTTCAGATCCCTATAAGTGCAAGTCCAAATGCAAATCCCATGAATGCAAGAGAGATACATAGACTACCTAACTCTTTCGCACTCATGGGATTTTCTTTTGGACTTGCACTTGTACTTGGCTTTTGTACCTGTTCAGGAACCACCTTTAAAGCTCCAATGGGGCCCTAAGGCCTAAGCAGAATAGATTCTTGAACGGGAACGCAATCGTAAACGGAAACGTAAGAATGTGTAAGAAAAGGATATCAAATATCTTTATTCTTCTTTCACTCATTCTTACGTTTCCGTTCACGATTGCGTTCCCGTTCAATAATCTATTCTGCTTAAGCCTTAAGGCCTTTCTCCAATATGTTCCTAAATGTTTGCGTAAAAATGTTCTTTAATTCAATTAAAATTATTAAAGGCCGTCGAGAAACATTTGCATTAAAAATTTTAAAGTTGGAAAACAGGGATAAGAGGAACATAAACCAAACTTTTTGTTCGTGATTGGTATCAATGCTTTGATGACTTCACTGCACTTGCGAACCAACGCGTCAGTTCCGCAACGCAAACATTTAGGAACATATTGGAGAAAGGCCTTAAAGGCGTTTTTCCAATAAGATCCTAAACTCTTGCGTTGCGTATGCGTTGCGTCGGTTGCTATTGGCAACCTATGCTAAAATCAACGCGTCAGTCACGCAACGCAAGAGTTTAGGATCATATTGGAGAAACGCCTTAAAGAGTATACTCGGGAAGTATTGGCCTAAGCACAACTGAGTCGGGTACGCAAGTCGGATACAGGATATGTAAGTTTCGCGCTTAGGTCTTTTGCCGAGGGGGAATTTACTCAGGTAGTCAAGTGTATACACTTCCTGTAATACTTGTGTAATACCGTGTAATAATGCGTTATTACGGTGCTGTAATAACGCAAAAAAGTCTGTAATATCTCTGTAATAATGTGTAATACTATGTAATAAATGTGTAATACTTTGTAATAACGTGTAATACTTGGTAATAAGGGTAATTATGAGGTGTATTACCGGTAGTCAAGTGTACACGTTTTTAACTAGTAAATTCCCCCTCGCCTTTTGCAGTGTCCTTTTTTGCACGGTATAACAAAGACACGGCCGTTTCTGAATTGGGATTTTTGTCGAAGTGGTATTTTTAGCGCACTTTTGATAAAGTGTATACTCGGGAAGTATGAAGTGTCCTTGTTTTTCCGTGCGAAAAAAAGGTCACTGCATACTTCCCAAGTATACACTTTATCAAAAGTGCGACAAAAATCACAATTCGGAAACGGCCTCGCACTTTTGAGAAAGTGTATACTCGAGAAGTATGCAATGTCCTTGTTTTGATTTTGATTAGGAAACTAATCAAAATTGCTACAAAAGTCCTAATTTGGAACGGCCCACTGCATGCTTCCCGAGTAAACACTTTATCAAAAATTTGCTAAAAATCCCAATTCAGAAACGACCCTTCTCTTTTGATGGAAAGAAGAAAAAGTGGACTTTTCGACATGTAGCCACCTGTAGGCGAGTTTCACCGCGAGACCCCTACTCAACATTATAAGATTCAGGACCTGTCTATCGACCGTGGACTTAATAGATTTAAATAAGCAAGATGTAAATAAAGATTGATTTTAATTCTTTTTCCATTTAAATAACGGCAAGAATCGGATAAATACTATCAAAAAGGTTTTGTTTGCTATTTCTTAATAATCCTACAAAATGTTTTTCGATGTTTAATTTGATGAATGTGTTATAATGTTTGTTCTAAAAGAGTGATATATATTTACGTCTGTAGGTTATGTTTTAAAATTTTTAAGTGAAAATTCACAAAGGGTATGAATTCTATACAAATCATTAATTATTAAGTTTTCGTTACATCTAAAATATTGAATAAAAACTTATTTCTATTTCATGAAAATAAAAAGGAACATGGTAAAACTGTCGTAAACATAACCTATAATTTGAATCACTCTGATCAGGATCACGGTTTAAATTGAGCTGCCGGATCAAAGAAGGGCACATAACTAATGTAATTCAAATGGGTTATGTGCCCTTCTTTGATCCGACAGCTCAATTGATGTGATCGGTATCTTTATATTTTATATTGTATTTAAAATTTTGTTTGTGAGAAAGAAAATAATCTTCAATATGTATTTCTTTTTATTTTGTTTATTGATTTTGCTATTACTCAAGTGGTTCATAGTTAAAAATTTTAAGGGGAGTCACAACTTTCATTTTGAATCCTTTACATTTTAATGATCGTAGGAAGATATATTTTTTTTCTTGCATCATTTGGGTTCTAAAAACATACACGATGGTAAGAAAAATAAAATTTTAATTTTTTACCATTTTAGAAATTATATTCTTAAAAAATTTAATATTTTAAATATCTATCTTCTTTTTCAATTTTGACTATTTTTCTTCGTCAATTTTTTCCACGCTTTTTTAATGATTCTTAAGAATCTCTAGCATGGATTTTCAAAAATTTTAATTTTTTCAAGAAAAGAATGTAAAATATCAGTTAAAACATCATTGCACTCTTCTATTAAATATGTATCTTCTTTAACAATTTTAAATATTTTTCATCGTCAAATTTTTTCCACACTTTTTTAATGATTCTTTAGAATCTCTCGCATGGATTTTCAAAAATATTAATTTTTTCAAAAAATAAAAATTCTAAAATGGTCAAAAATTAAAATTTTCTTTTTTTGACCACCTTATATGTTTTTTGGACCCAAATGATGCAAGAAAAAAAAATATAACCTCTTTTAATAATTTAAATTTAAGTGGGTCAAAATAAAGATTGTTATCTCTGACAGTAATATTTCTGCTTATTTCAAATTTTATCTATCTATGAAAACAAAAAATTTTGTTTATTTATTTAAAATATGAAACGAAATGTAATCAATGTGATTGTTTTGCAGGAAAATATGTCAGGAAACTTAAAGAAAAACTGGATTGAACACAATGCAAAGCACAAAGAAAAGCGAAAAAATCGAATGGAACAAAAGTTAGAGAAAAAATGCAAACGGAATGTAGTTAGTGATGAAGATGAGGTAAAAGGTGGTGTAAACAAGAATGGTGTATCAACAGTTAGCATTGCTGTGCCAGGATCAATTTTAGACAATGCTCAGACTCCTGAATTACGAACTTATCTTGCGGGTCAAATTGCGCGTGCCGCTTGCATATATAAAGTGGACGAAATTGTTGTTTTTGACGACAAAGGCGACACGAAAGTAAACGAAAAATCGACTTATAGTGAAGAGAGTACTTCTTGTCTACAATTGGCTAGAATATTACAGTACCTTGAATGTCCTCAATATTTACGTAAATATTTTTTTCCATTACATAAAGACCTTCAATTTGCTGGTTTATTAAATCCTCTTGATGCTCCTCATCATTTGAGACAACAAGACATTTCTCTTTTCCGTGAAGGTGTCGTAAAGAATAAGCCAAATAAAGTTGGTAAGGGTTCTCAAGTAAATGTAGGACTCTTTAATGACGTTTATGTTGACAAGGTTCTGACTCCTGGGATAAGAGTGACAGTTAAACTTTGTCAAGAAGATGTGAATTTAAAAAAATTAAACGGCATTGTTGTATCTCCTAAGTTGCCTAGGTCGGAAACTGGGATTTACTGGGGTTATTCAGTTCGTTTAGCAAATTGTATAAGTGAAATTTTCACAAAGTGCCCCTATACAGCAGGTTATGATTTATCTATTGGTACATCGGATAAAGGCTCATGTATTGATGATATCCCTTCTCATAGCTTGAAATATCATCATTCTTTAATCGTTTTTGGAGGACTTTCTGGATTAGAATCAGCTATTGAACAAGATCCTGTTTTAAATACCCATGATCCTGCTTTGTTATTCAACAAATATTTTAATACTTGTCCCGAGCAAGCTTCGCGGATTATTCGAACTGAGGAAGCTATTCTCATCTCACTTGCTGAATTAAGGCACAAGTTATCTCCAATACATTGTCCAGTTGATAATCAACAATTTTCGGACAATAATTTTATAAACAATTCATAAATTTTAATTTTATGGATTAATTACTGTTAAAATCTGGACATTTAATCTTTTTCACATTATTCATAATATACTATTGTTGAAAAATAAAAAAATCTAAGAGCGACCCCATTAACAATTATTCTGTGTTTTGAATATTATTTATTTTCTCATAAACCTCCTTTCTTTAAAAACACATTGCATGAAGATATCTCGATGACTATCGAACAAAAGTCGAATTTTTAAATTAGAAAAAGAAAAATAAGATTTTTGCTTACAAAAGTATCTAAATTAATGTTCATTTTATGAAAATCACCTTATATTATTGTTCCTCATGTTTTGCATAATTTATTTTCTGACAATATAAACTTGCAAAGAATTTATTTATTGTAAATGAAATTTAATAAAGTAATTGTAATAAATTATGAAACAAATTGAATTGAAATACTTAATAGCCTACCCTATAAAACAGGACAGTTCTTGCCGATTCCCAGCGCGTGTACCCTATAGTAAAATGCATGTTTTTAAGTTGGTTCCAACTTTAGGGTCGCTGAATTCGAATCTGAGGCTCAATTCAAATATGCACATTATTTCTCCATTTTCAACAAATACTGCATTTTGAAATTCCCGCTAAGAAACATGTTTTTATTATTACGGTGAAATCACATGGATAGATCTTATTAAAATACATTTTTTTTAATTTTGCATATTTTACCAAATAAACGAAAAAAAACCATTAATTTTGGGACTTTTTTATGGTTATGGATGAGAAAATGAGAAAAATGACTTTTTATCATTAAAACTAAAAAATTTGATAGTAATATCGTTTAAAAAAAAATCGATTTTTTTTGAAAAGTACGTTTAAGGTGCTTATATACCTCAAATTTCGATCAGATGAACATTATTTCTGGACCGTGAAAATGCGTGAAAAGTCATTTTCACGGCGGGTATTTTTGAATTGTTTTAAACAAAAAATGTTTTTTTTAAGAAATATAATATTAAATAATTGTTTTAGTATGTAAGAACACTTTAAAATAATGATAGAGAGATGATTTGATTAAAAAATTTAGCAAATTTTGCTTTAAAACGTTTTCTGCTACAAGAAAGTGTAAAATGACGATGTTTGTGAAATGGTTTGTACAGTGCTTCTTCCTTGTTAGTGTCTCTCAGAGTTTTGTTTATGTTATGTCGGTTCTTTTTAACTTGTAATAAATAATGAGTGCTGAAAATAAATCGTTAAGTTGAAATGTTTATCAAATAAATTTAAATTCAACTAATTGTTTCGAATAACTGAAAGGCACATGTACACATGTACACTGTACGAACCATTTCACAAACATCGTCATTTTACACTTTCTTGTAGCAGAAACGTTTTAAAGCAATATTTGCTAAATTTTTCAATCAAATCATCTTTTTATCACTATTTTAAAGTGTTCTTACATATTAAAACAATTATTTAATATTATATTTCTTAAAAAAAACATTTTTTGTTTAAAACAATTCAAAAATACCCGCCGTGAAAATGACTTTTCACGCATTTTCACGGTCCAGAAATAATGTTCATCTGATCGAAATTTGAGGTATATAAGCACCTTTAAAAACACACATTTTGAAAGAAAAACTTTTAAAATTGATGCATTTTTAAGGAAGTTATGAGCATTCAAAAATTAAGTCATGAAAATTCTTCAATTTTCAAAATTCCATAACTCGAAAACGGCTTGCTAAAAAAATTTGAAAAAATTCATGGAAGCTAGTCTCAATTAGTACTAATAAAAGAAAAAAAATCGGAGATGCAATTGAAAATGGACTTTCACTTTGAGTGGAATACATCATATATATTATATATATGCTAGAGTGAGTCTATTCTGGATCCAACCTGAGGGCCTGTCCAGAATATACCAAAAACATGAACGTTTACGTAACGTCACAATGTATTTTAAATGGATACGTTACTTATATGTTCATGTTTTTGGTCTATTCTGGACAGGCCCTAAAGTCGGTTCTACAGTTGGCTCTACATTGAACGTGTACGTGAACGCGTACCATGGATTGTAGAGCCGACTTAAGGGGCAATTCATTAATTACGTAAGGGTCCTTAGGGGGAGGGGGGGTTTATAAAATCTCTACATGGTTTTACGTGGGGGGTGGGGGGTAGAAGCTAATCTTACGTAAGATTTTGCCTAGTATTTTCCATTTGTATTGATGTAATTAATTTTTTAATTACATTAATATTGTTAAAAACTTACGTAAGAAGGGGGAGGGGGGGTCTGAAAAATCTTATGTATCCTTACATGGGGGTAGGGGGGGTCAAAATTAGCCAAAATCGTCCTTACGTAATTAATGAATGGCCCCTAATGCGTTTCTCCAATATGATCCTAAACTCTTGCGTTGCGTGACTGACGCGTTGATTTTAGCATAGGTTGCCAATAGCAACCGACGCAACGCATACGCAACGCAAGAGTTTAGGATCTTATTGGAGAAACGCCTTTAGAGAACCGACTTTATGGTGCGTCTTCAATATAACTTAAGAGCATTCGTAAGCGTAATGTATGACGTCACCAATGCTAAACTGTAAGCTGAGGGTGCAGTCCTTTGACGGCGAGAATGCAGAATGCAAAGTTGAAAACCATGAGTTCAAAGAGATGGAAAGATATCGCTATCCTTTTCACTCTCATAATTTTCAACTGTGCATTCTGCATTCACGCCGTCATGGGACTGCACACTGAGTCTACATTGAGAACGTTAGGACGCGACGTGAACGTGAACGTGCTGACGTCACCCACATGCATAAAATTGTGACGTAAGCACGTACATGTTCACGTACTAACTTGCCCAATGTAGACTCAGCTTAAAGGGGACCTCTCGGCTGCCTGCCTGCCTGCTGTAGTTACCATGGCAACATGATAAGAGTGAGTAAAGCAGAAAATTTAAATTTTTCGTCTGTTTCACTCACTCCCATTAAGTTACCATGGCAACTGCAGCAGGCAGGCAGCCGAGAGGTCTGAATGCGCCTTTATCCCTGTTTTCAAACTTTACAATTTTTAAAGGTGCTTTTATACCTCAAATTTCGATCAGATGAACATTATTTCTGGACCGTGAAAATGCGTGAAAAGTCATTTTCACGGCGGGTATTTTTGAATTGTTTTAAACAAAAAATGTTTTTTTAAGTAATATAATATTAAATAATTGTTTTAATATGTAAGAACACTTTAAAATAGTGATAGAAAAATTATTTGATTAAAAAATATAGCAAATTTTGCTTTAAAACGTTTCTGCTACAAGAAAGTGTAAAATGACGATGTTTGTGAAATGGTTTGTACAGTGTACATGTGTACATGTTTCTTTCAGTTATTCGAAACGATTAGTAGAATTTAAATTTATTTGATAAACATTTCAACTTACCGATTTATTTTCAGCACTCATTATTTATTACAAGTTAAAAAGAAACGACATAACATAAACAAAACTCTGAGAGACACTCACAAGGAAGAAGCACTGTACAAACCATTTCACAAACATCGTCATTTTATACTTTCTTGTAGCAGAAAACGTTTTAAAGCAAAATTTGTTAAATTTTTCAATCAAATCATCTTCCTATCACTATTTTAAAGTGTTCTTACATATTTAATATTATATTTCTTAAAAAAACATTTTTTGTTTAAAACAATTCAAAAATACCCGCCGTGAAAATGACTTTTCACGCATTTTCACGGTCCAGAAATAATGTTCATCTGATCGAAATTTGAGGTATAAAAGCACCTTTATACGCATGTTTCTCGACGGCTTTTAATAATTTCAATTGAATTAAAGAAAAATTAATGAACAACATATTTATAATGGCTTAAGCACAACTGAGTCAGGTACGCAAGTCGGATACGGGATATATAAGTTCCCGCAACCGTCTTTAATTGTGCGTTGAAAAACGGTTTCGCGAAACATTGGCGGAACCGTTTTTTCAACTGACAATTAAAGACGGTTGCGGGAACTTACATATCCCGTATCCGACCAGTTGTGCTGAGGCCATAATTAAAAAAATCAGTGTCTTAAAATCATAAACCAACTTTTTGTTCGCGAATGGTATTAATGCTTTGATGACGTCACTTGCGTCGTGCGTATCATTAGAGTAAAAGAGACAGAAATATCTTTTGTCTCTTTTACTCCAATCGTACACGACAGAAGTATTCTCGGGATTGGTGAGGTATACAAGCGCCTTTAGGTTGAAAATTTTTATTTAATCGAGATATTTAAAAATTAATTTTTTCTGTCATATAAAGGTGCTTTTATACTTTCTTAGTTTTCGACGAGTGAAAATCATGTGAGTAAAAGAGATAAGCAGATAACATTCTCTCTTTCACTCACATATGTTATACACCTGTCGCCGAAGCTTTTAAGCCTACATGGGACGGGCCCTTTTTTTTAAGATGGCAGAAATGGAATGTTTTCCAAAGCCAATCAAATTCAGTGATTCGTCCATGAAAATTCATTGTTCGCAAAAAACCAAGGTATAAAAGCACCTTAATTCCAATGTGAACGCTCCTTAAAGATGTCGTTCGGCTTTCGTCCATCTTTAATTCCCCCCCCCCCAACTTGAACTACCTAATTAACTAACCCACGCATGCGCAGTATGTCAGATAATTGTTACAGAATTGGCAACACTGTTGATGCATTTCAATTGCATTTGCATTATTGCATTCCTGGGACGAGAAGAACGCAGCCAACTTCCGGTGACTCGGTGATTGTGCTGTTTTCAAACATGGAGAGGTTATCTTTTTGAAATAATATGTGGGAAATAGGCAACCGCGGTGCAGTCGGTTTGTTAAGTGTGTTTATCGGGTCAGTGGTCCTCTACAACGCCTGGGGACTGATTCTCGTCCTCGCGATTTTACTTTTTTTAGTAGTGAACACGTGTTACTCCCTCCTTGTGAACGACAGTCTTGTGTCCCCTTATAATTTGTTAGTATTCCGTTTCGCGAGAAGAGTTATACTAGACATCAGTAGCATCATTGAACAAGTCAGCGTTCTTCTCACGCGGTACATTCGTGATTTCGTAAACGCCGGAAAACGTTACTATCGCCAACGATTCAACTCGAGTCACAGTTCCAACATGAACCGTTCTCGAAGAAGCTCTTATCATCTCAGCAGTGAGTCACTCGTCAAAGCTAGGGATCCATCATCATCATCGTTTTCAAGTACAAATGTTAATCAATTGAGTCCAATTCCAAAGGAAAAGTTCCAGCAAATCGACGACTGGAACGAACATACCAGATACGTCGAAAGTAATGAATCTTTGGTAAAGTACACATCAACACCTCTAGTCCCTTGGAGAAAGGAGAATGTGCCGAATGGTGAACCGCAGAATGTCTCGATTCGAAATTCACCGACCAAGGTTTCACCGCTGCAAGGTCGAAATCACACATTGTCCCGTGATGAGACATTTTTCAGTCCAGAAGGATCACCCTGGGGAACAAGCATCAGTCCGAAAATGCGTGCAAAAGCTGCCGGAGTCAAGACTGTTCAGACTGTAGCTGGACCACTTTTGGCATCAACAAGATACAATATTGACACTAAGTAAGTTTTTCCACTTGATATTTTTCTTGTAACATTTTTATTTTTCTTTATAACAATTTACAAGTTGTTAATCCCTAAAATGTCTATTTTACCGTCTAGACTTTTGAATTGGCATCAAAGTGGGACGACACGTTCGTCTAGACATTCATTAATTAACGATTAAGCTGTAATTTTAAAGTCATTAGTTTACACTGACAATCATTATGTATTGTTCACCTCATTTCATTCAATTTGAAAATTCATGTGCCAAAAATTAAATTTCTCAATTTCAATTATTTTTTCTTTATAAAAAAAAATTCTGAATACCTGGAAAAATCAGGGAATTTTATTTGGCATTAAAAATTTGGGGAAAAAATATTTAAAAAATGAAAAGAAATCATAAAATTGATGATGTGCATATATTTCTAAAGTTTCAGAGATGATTTTATAAAGTCAATTTTTAGAGATGAAAGTGTGAAGAGGAAAAAGAGACCAAAATATTTAAAAAATTGACAGAAAATATTTTAAAGTAATATAAAAAGATTACACAAATAAAAAACTATCAGTATGATGAGAATTTAAAAACAAAAGTAAATTTTTGTATTTTCAATATTTAATTATTTTTATTATTTTTCTTTTTTAATAAAAATTGATAGTATTTTTAATAAACAATAATAAATAAATGTATTATTTATTTTTTAATAAATATTACAGCCATTGAATATACTTTAAATAATCTTGTCAAAGAAATTAAAAGTGCTGTTAAAAAAGTTTAAATTTTAATGAATTTATTGTTATTAATAAAAGAATATTAAAAGTACATTAATTTTTAAAAAATATTTAATATAATAATAAATTTTTTTGTATTTTAATGAATTGAGATTCTAAAAACATACAAGGTGGTCCAAAAAAGGAATTTTTTTAATTTTTGACCATTTTAGAATTTGTGTTTTTTAAAAAAATAATTTTTTTCGAAACCCATATGAGAGAATAATTAAAAACCCGTGTAAAAAAATTGTCGATGAAAAATAGTCAAAATTTTGAACGTAGTTCAATATTTAAGAGAAAAGATTAATGAAATTTCAATTCATTTTTTCCTTTCTTTTTTTAGAAATTAAAATTTTTGAAAACCCATCAGAGAGATTCTAAAAAATCATTAAGAAAGATTGTAAAAAAAATTTCAATGATAAGTAATCAAAATTATTCAAGTATTTTTATTTTGAAAAATGTTATGTGGTGCCTTACATTAAAATTAATTTATAAAAACAATGTTTGAATCAAAAGCAATTTTGTTCAGGCAATTTGTCTGCAATTTGATAAATATTTATTTTAATCAATATTTCAGAGTTTATACGGACGTGACATCGCCAGGTTTAACTACAAGATTATCAAAATATGCCTCGGAAATAAGCAGTAAATTACTTCAACAACCACAATATGGAATGGGCCATTTTCCAAAAGTCAATCTCAATGCTTCTCCGACTCCATTAATAAATACAAAAACCGCTAAAATGCGAATGCCAGTTACAGTTAGAATCGCACAACCGGAAGCAATAAGATATTCACCTTCGGAGAGACGCAAAATGTTGAGCATGACGTGCCATTCTGATAGTCAAATATCATCTCCCAATGTTGTTCAAGCGCTTAGAGAGATTTCTCTAAAACGACACGCTTCCAGGGAGGACGTTACATCCGATTTTGTGAAAAAGCAACGCACGGATGTTATTTATAGCGATGAATTGGAAAATTTGGAAGAAATGACACAGAAACGTGCTAGGGATGAATCTTCTAAGTCAGACGAGGAACTCTCGCCATCTCATTCAGGTTCAAGGCCACTGAAACGTACCAAGGGCCAGTCCTGTAATGATATTTTAAATTCATTCAGCTCCAGTGTTCACGTCTTTTCCGGAGTTAAGAGAAAAGCCAGTAAGTTTAATTAAACGACTCATTTTAAAAGTATTCTTTCTCAATTTTCAGTTATTTTTAAATGAAAAAAAAATTAAAACTTTTACTCTATTAATGAAATAATATATTTTGCAGTAAAATAATAGAAAATATTTAATTAAAGTTTTCGTTTTCAGCTGATATATCGCGCAGTAACACTCCAGACATCGAGAAGCATTTCAAGTCATTGAAAAAATATCCCAGTGAAGGCTTTACCACCGTTTCGCAGGAAGCGCCAAAATTTATTGAACGACACACAAGTGAACCGTTGACGGTCGTTAATGTTCCCATGAATTTTGAGGCGAAATCAAAAAAAGAGGTCTTACCGAAAGAAATTGTCAGTATCAATGTATCGCAAGCTGAGGAGCAAAATAAATCACCAGATGCTTGGGAAATTAAGAGACCGACTATTTTGAAAAAGCCGAAATCACCCACCAGTCCAGTGAAACTGTCCGATAAGTTGTTCATGCGACCAGCACCGCAGAATAATGATAAATTGCGAACTATTATCGAGCAACAAAGTAATGTGAAAGACAAATTTTCCATGGCTGACCAGGATGAAATTAAGAAGATGGATATTGTTAATATGCGACAAACTAGCATGCGAGCCAGGCTTCAGAGTATGTTTGACGCCATTTCCGGAAAAGGTAATTTCTGTTTTGCACTTAATTTTATTTATTTTCTTAGGTCCATTGAATTTCGTCTCAGAGCTATTGAGGTCAAATTTAAAAAATCTAATTTTGAAATGTTAAACTTCAACATTTTCTTAGTTCATTAATCGTAAAATTATGGATTAAATTTTCTTTCTTCTTTACATGAAAAAAATATAATCAAAAATTGAACGTTCGGGACCTTATTCAGGCTTCGAATCGTACGACTTTTTCAACTCATTTTACAAAATCAAAGTAAAAATTAATTAATTCATTAAATTAAAAACAAAATACTTATGACTTTTTTTTAGTACAAATTGCAGCTCTTCCAAACTTTAATTATTTTAAAAATTTGATTCTAAAAAGTCTAAAATTAATTATTTTCAATAATTGTAATGAAATTCTTGGAAAATTAAATTATTTAAAACACTAGTCAATTAAAAATACTCAAATTCAATTATTGCCTAAAATTATTTTAAAAAAAAATTTCAGCAATTTAAATTTATAAAAATTGTCAATTTAAAATCTCTTGAAATTTGATTAATTCTAAAAATCTATAACGTAGCCCTTCTGAAATTTATTATCGCAGTGTCCGGTAATAATTGAACTTTAATACAAAACTTTTTTCAGAAAAATGAAAAAGTGCGAAACTTAGGGAACATCTAAATTTTCACTTTTCTTTTTATGTTAATACATGTAATTTTTTAAAGTTGAAGTTAATCGAACAAGATTAAGCCTGAAGGACGAACTTCAATTTATAAAAATTACGTGTATTAACTTGAAAAGAAAAGTGAAATTTTTACAACAGCACGAAACTTTTGGAGTGTGTAATTTTGATGGTATTTAGCGAAATTATTATTTTCTCTTAAGCGAACATAACATAACTATTTGCTTTTTGTTAAAATCATTTTTTACATAATATATTTTATATATATTTTTTTAAGTTCATATTACTTTTTCCGTTTCACTATTTCTAGGTACTACTTTTGTAAGATAAACAAAAAAAAACGTTAATTGTCTTAAAGTTTTAAAGAAGTTAATTATTTTAATAAAGAAATTAAATTTGTATATAGTTTTAGTAATTTTCGTTTCAATATTTATTTCAGGTGCAAGTAAAATTAATCCCGATGTTGTTATTCAAGCTGGAGAGGAGAAGAATAATGTTTGTGACCCAACATCAACGCCTTTTACCACTTTGAGTTCAACGACAGTAACGACAAACGTCAATACTTCCCCGATTTCCTCGCCTGTTGTGCCAATCCTGAAGAAAGGTGTAACTAAGAAGTCACCGAACAAACGAGTGACATTCAATCTCCCTAGTTCCGTATCATCGTCATCTTTATCCACAGAAAATGTTGTCTCTAAACCTCAAGCGATTGAAACACCAGACACTCCAGCGGTTGGTTTTTTGCCCAGTACCGCTTCTAGTGGGACTGCCTCTACTTTTACATTGGAAACCAGTACCTCTACAATTCCAATATTGGCTCCTACTTCCAATATCGTGGATAGTTCGAAAGAGGATATTTCGTGTGCTTCTAATTTCATGGCATCCAAAACAGAAAATACGACTTCAATATTCTCCAGTAAAACTCCTCAAGATTTAAAGACGAATCTAAGTTTACCCGTCACTCAGAATTCAGTTGTTTCTGCTCCTTCTCAAAATGTGAATTTTTCTTCTTTACAAAATACGAATCTGGCTACGTCTCAGAATTTGAATACCACTCAGAGTGTTACGACACCGTCTTTCACTTTTGGTGCCGTGGCGAAATCCCCAGAACCCGCGCAAACTTTTGGTCAAAATACAGCAGTGAATAGTGAAAATACCCCAATCTCCCTTCCAAGTTCAACCTTTTCTGCACCTAATTTCAATTCGACAAGTACGACTTCGTTGACGCCAACTTTCTCCTTTGGAGCAAGCAAACCGATGGAAAATATACCGAAAACCCAACCCACCGCACCGTTTGGATTAGCTACCACGAGCTTTTCCTTTCCCACAAACGCGACTCCAACTTCGAGTGCTTCAAACTTGAATAAAGTGGAGACAACATCCACAGAAAGTAAAACGTCGACCTTCTCATTTGGCAATACATCCGTCAGCAAACCGGGATTTTCTTTTTCGACGACTACAGGCTCAGCGCCAATTTTTGGAGCAAACAACTCATCATCATCAACTTTGATCGCTGGAAATCCAATAAACCCAACAACAGCTGCGCCAGCTTTCGGATTGGCCACGAAAAGCACTCCAAGTTTCACAAGTCCTTCCTTCGGAGCAGGAAGTAATTGCAGTTTAAACTTCGGCACTTCAAATGCGAATGAAGTGAAATCTTTCGGCATACCGACAACGACATCATCGTTGTTTGGTACTACAACTTCGACAACTGCAGTGTCATTTAAATCGATCAACAGTCAACCAATTTTCGGTAACGCATCTTCCGCGACACCGAGTGCTTTCAGAACACCGAAAACAACAGCCTCGTCTATTTTTGTGTCCAATTCGACGCCAACTTTTGGCACATCAACAACAAGCACTCCGAGTTTGTTCACCAACAGTAATGTCAATACTACAACTTCAAACTTGTTCAGTCAGGGTAATCAAGGTGCAAATGCAGATTCGGCATCGACACCATTTGGCACCAATGTTGCCACAAATGTAACTTCCTCCAATCCAATGTTGGGAGGTACTTCCAATATATTCAGTCAGACAAAACCTCCTGCTTTTGGTTCGACATCGTCGACTTTTGCTAATACCGGAACGTCTCTTTTTGGAACGGCTTCGACGAATCCTGGCGGATTTAATGCAACGAGTCCGGGAAACAGTGCTACATCAGCTTTTGGCAGTGCAACATCAACGACACTGTTTGGAGCACAAAACACAGGAACAACACCTGCTGTCAGTCAAAACTCCAGTTTTGGATTTAGTACAACAATCGCAAACACTCCTGCTTTCGGAACGACCGCAACATCTTCTGCATTTGGCAGCGGTGCAAATAACAGTTTTCAGACACAAAATAATAATAATAATAATAATAATAATGCAAGTACAGGAATTAGTTTCGGTGCGGGAAGTAATAACAATAATACACCATCTTTTGGAAGTAGTTCTACAACGGGTTTTGGCACGCAGGCTGGAAGTGTCTTTGGAACAAGCACACCAGGTCCGGCGTTTGGAGCTGCTGCCAATAGTAACACTAATGGAAATAGCACTAATGCAAACGCGAGTGGAGCATTCACATTTGGAACGAGTCAGAATCAAACACAGCCAGGGTCAACGTTCTCCTTTGGTGGAGCGAGTACCAATACCAGTAATAACAATAATGCCGCAACTCCCTTCCAATTTGGATCACCTGTTGCTAAACCAGGTAAATAATTTTTAGATAATTTCAATTTTAAGTGTAGTTTCAAATAGGGCGTATGAAAATACTCTAAAACTTACTTGTCAAAATTTCCATTTGACCAAAATTTTATATAATCTTCAATTTTATATTTCCCATTAGCCTTTACCATAATTTCCTTTTAAACAAATGAATACGTATTTGAAAAATTTGAGAAAAAATGAACAAATTAAAAAATGTTCCAAAAACACACTTTCTTCGTTGTCGTTAAATTTCAAAAAATCATAACTTTCTTCATTTTCATCAAATAAAAAAATAAAAAATACGTATTTCCTTATTTTTCATATAGATTTCGAAAAAAAATGTTTCGGATAAAAAAAAATTTTCAATGAAAATTTCCCATACAATGCCCCAATAGTATTTTTACACCTACTGAGATCAAAAAAAGTTTCTGAAATTATTAGAACAAAAAAATTACTTGTTAAAGATATAAACAAGTGCAATTTTTGGCTGTCTTAAACAAAAAAAATTATCTCGAAATCCAGTTGACAAATTTAAAAACAAAAAAAAATAGGTTTTTCTCGTCTTGGAACATAGTACTTAAAAATTATTTTTGTCTTAAAAAATTAAAAAAATTTTTTTTTTTTTGTTCATAAAAAACTGATATTGAAAAAAAAATTTATTTCATTATTTTAGGAACAAAATTTCTAAGGTAAACGGTTTTATCTTATTAAGATTTTCATTAAAATATCAATTATATGGTCCCTTTAATTATTAAAGGGAAAAAAATAATAATAATTGAATTTACTATTAATTTTAAAAAAATATTCATTATTAAAATTCCTATTAACCGATGTTAATTAATAGTTAATTCAATTATCACAAACTTCATAATAATTGTTTTTTGAAATTTCACAAATTTTTAAAATAATTTTGCAAAATTTTAATATGTTTTTGGTTCCTTATAGAAAGTTTTATATTTGTGACGATTTCCGAATTTCTTAAAATCAATTGTTTTAACAAATTTTTAACTAGGATGAATATATTTTGACAAAAGGAAGGAATAAATTGAAAATTCAAACGGCATTCTCTTCATAAGGGTTTATTATAAATAATAAATCTAAAAAACAATTTTTTAATAATGATTTTTAATTTTTATACACATTTTTCTCAAAAATTACCCCCGTATAAAAAGACAGCGGGTAGAAATATGAAATTCGAAAGATTTATTGTCTAGAATGAAGTAAATATACTCCAAAAAATTGTTTTAAACAATGACCCTCCTCTTATTTTTGCAAATTCTCGGTAACCTAATTATTGTTTTTATTTTTAATACTTTCTTACTTCTAAATTAATTTTCTTAAGGGAAATTTAATAAGTATCTTGTTGAATTTTTCAGCTTCAGGTTTTAATTTCACGGCACCTTCAGCAGGACCAAGTATTAATTTTGGCGCATCAACGACAACAACTTTTAATGCACCGGCACCAGGAACAAGTAATTTCACAGCTCCTGCTGGTGGAATGTTTAGTATTGGAACGGGTTCTACTGCTCCAAGATCGAGAACTGCACGATCTAGAAGACAAAGATGATGGAGAATGTAAATTTAATTTTTTATTGTTATTTTTTTCATGCTGAAGCCAGTCTTTAATTTTTTTCCTATTTAAGTTTAGTGCCGAAAATGCTCAAACGTATGTTGTATATAATAATTTTTATGTAATTCGAAATTATACGCAATGACGCAACTAAATTCTAGTTGCTGATTAAATTAATATATATTGGAATATATATCAGAAAGAGGTCAGAGAGAAAGAGGAAAAGAGTATGATTTTTATGTTGTATTTTTATCACATATAAACAACTCTTCTCGAAAGTTTTAATAGTCAAACGAATTTATATATATCCAAAACATTTCACTAATTATTAAGTGATAAAAGAAAATTCTTTTATAAAGATTGTTGCTTTAATATTTGACTTTTAAGTGTTTTTTTCAAGTTTTTTTCTCTTTAGTAATTTTCTTCAATGCACGTATCTTTCTATTATGAGAATTCATTATTTCCTTGACACATACAATATTCTGAGTACCCAAATAATAGTGAATTACTTATACGCACTTGTTACTTAAAACAAATATACAATTATTTTTTTTATTATTGAAAAAGAGTGTGTAAGCGTAAATTTAAGAATACCCTTTTTGATTGCGATTTTTTGCTTACAAAGAAGAAGAAAATACTAACGAAATAAAAAGTTGGTTTGATATTAGACAATTAAATAAATCACAGAATATTACCGTGAAATATTAGGCAGTGAATTCAAACAAAAACATTAGAGAATTAATTTTTCTTTGTATAATTGTAAATATTGAGGCAAGATTGTGTTTCAATTTATAAAATAAAATTGTTTTCTCCTTCATTAGTAGTTGCGTCCTTGCGATATCAGCATTTGTTTGTTATATTGGTTGCAATGTAGTTAATGGTATTTAGTAGAAGAAATAAACGCATACGTTTGACGATAATATCATGTATAGAATTGAATTCACCAATTATTTTTAGTTAATTACATTGAATTTTGTTTTATATTTCAGATAAGCTATATAAAAGATTAAATTTGCAGATTCAAATGCAAATTAACACTGAAATATTGCAAAAAAAATTATATGAGCAGATGTAAAACATCGAAAAAAATATAATAGGGTAACAAAAAGCTTTCTTCTTCGGAATGAAAATGTGTCTTGAATTTTCCAATCGTGGATTAAAATATTTTTCACTGCTGCGAGATAGAAAGAGGTGGTTGTTTATTTTTTAAAATTGTTAACGTAATAGAAACAAATGTAAATATGTGCGAGTATTTAGCGAATGAATCGTTAGTTTAAAAAGAAAAAAAACCAACGAAAATATGATTGTATAGTTGATGAGTTACATATGATTAGATTGAATCAAGGAAATCGCCTGTTTCATTCTCAAAGAGAAAACAAAGTTGTCTGATTTTAGAATCACGAAGAAGAAAGAATTTATATGCGGCACTCTTAGAGTATAAGTTGAATTTCAAGACCACATGCGATAAAAAATGCATACATTAATTTTGTTAGTTTAATTTGCGTATGATTTATATCATAAATAGAAGAAAGAAAGGGAAACTGGAATTTACGTAAGGAAATTTTTTCAGTTTTTCAAAGCTGTATGATATTAGAATTAAGGAAAGAGTAATTTAGCTCCGTTTATATTTTGTCAGCTCGTGTGAGGAATAATAATTTTTAACATATATTGTAATATGGCGATTAGTAATATATTATTATTAATATTACAAATGATTATCGTATGTAAGCGGAGAAATAAATCATATTCTCATATTAATACTGAATTTTTAAAATGTTTTTCATGGTTTTTTTTATTAAATAAAAACTTATGGCTATAAAAATATAACAGTGTAAAAGTCGATTTTTAAGAATTTCTTACTGATGATTTCACTATTTTAACGTCGTCGATCGGTCTATCATTTTTATCAGTTTCTACAAGTCCAATTCTTTTTACAATTGCCATTCCACTGTGAATTCGTCCTGAAAATCGAAAAATATTTCAATTTCATGTCTACATTTATTTTTTAATTCATTTTCTCTTTTATATTCATTCTGTACTTTATTAATTATATTATATACAACAAATAAATTTAAATTTCTCACTAAAAAATTGAAATATTAAATAATTTCAAGTACAAATTGAGTATTTTTTAAATGCGTGCCATTTTTCACAAATTGATTTTATATTAATAAAATTATGTTTTTCATGTTTTTGAGAACATTTCCTACGGATAGAAAAAAATTTAATAAATTTCATCGAGATTTTTTATTTTTAATTCGAAACTAAAAATTTTACATTAAATTTTAAATCATACTCTTGCTATATTACTTAATTGAAAAATTCGCATTGAACTTACCAAAAATGGCATGTTTTCCATCTAACCATTGAGTTGGAGCCAGTGTAATAAAAAATTGAGATCCATTTGAATCTGGACCAGAATTAGCCATCGACAAAATTCCAGCTCCTACAATCAAATCAATTTGGTTCTATTTAAAATTATGATTCATTTTTACTAATTAATGTTAATTTATAATTTATAAACTCAATTCGAAACTGAGGCTGAAAATTGATTTCTGAAATATATTTATATATTTTATGCAAAATTATTTTGCCAAAGGTTAAAAATATATAAATCAATAAGTCACGAAATGTGAAAAGTTTTTTTTGTCTCTTTATGTTCAGGTCATTTCCACTAATATGTTCAAAATGATCACAATATTTAACGCATAAAAATTATCTGTAATTAATAACTTTTCGACGTACAAAAAAAAAAACGCATAAACATTCGATATATTAATTATTCTATGACTATTTTGAAAATGTAGAAAATGGGGAGTTGTGCCTCACATCATATTTAAGTTTTTAATTCTAATATACACTCTATTTTTATTTTGCTTTATGTATGAAGAATTAGAATGTCTTCTGCAATTTGAATATTGTTCTTCAGTGAAATGAGACTTTTTTCACCTGTATTCACTATAAATGAAATTAATTACCTAGCTTAATTCAATTATTTTTAAAATAATTTTATTTTATGTAATTGTCTAAAATTAATATTTTATTATCTTATCTATTACTTTATTTTATGTAAATTATCTTACTTTTTCACATTTCATAATTTAAATAAAGAATATTCTAAAAAAATAGGTTTCTTTCTTCAATTTTCAACGCTGGAGCATAATGGGGACAAAATCCCTATTTTTCACAAATTATGTAAGTTTCTTCCTTTAAAAGGAATGTACAAAATGTTTGCGGTTTTTTTTAAGTTGTTATTTACATTCCCAGGATTAATTTTATGTAGCAGAAAAAAAATTTAGATAAGCTTTAAACGCATGAAACTGACTGTCCCCATTTACCCCAAGATTTAGAAAATTTCCTAAAATTTGGGGTAAATGGGGTCAGCATAGTTTCTAAGAAAGGTGTAAGAAAAAAGTTTCCTTAAGTATATTATTGTATTAAGGGATAAAAACTTGAAAAAAATTTGTGATATGGCGGACGAACTTAAAAATGTTCTGATAAATTGATTAAATTTGTTTGGTTTATGTCTTTTATTTATTTTTTTTTATTTCTGTATTTTGTCTCGCATTTGAAAATAAAACAGATTTAAAAATCATACAAAATTTTTTTTTATTCCTTATGATTTCCATAACAGAAATTCACTTGAATTTTTGTCAATTTGGTTAATAATAACAAGCTGTCCCCATTTACCCAAAAAATTTGAAAACTCAGAGTAAATGGGGACAGCTTATTATTATTAACCAAATTGACAAAAATTAAAAATTCAAGTGAATTTTTATTATGGGAGTCATAAGGAAGAAGAAAAAATTTTTCTATAATTTTTAAGTCTGTTTTCTTTGAAATGCGAGACAAAATACTGATACAGTTTCACTTTGATTATCAAGTTTTTACGCATTGAGCGATAACTTTTTTTATCTTGCTGCCAATTGTCAAGATAAAAGCTTGTCAATACTCAAAACCTCTTGTATATGATCTGAGGTTAAAATATTGACGTTGAATTTAATTTTATAACTGAAAATTAAGCTCCAATACCTCTTGTCCCCATTTACCCCAACTGACTCTGTTTTGAACGAAAAACAAAACCCGGAGCACAACTTCCCACTCTCCCCTATATTGTGCAACTAGTCACGAAAAAGAGTGGTTTTAAGAATTTGTCAATAGCAACCTATTTTCAAAAACTTCTAAAACATCCACCGAAGTAAATTTTAATATACAAAATAAAAAATTACTTTAATTACCAGCGTGTTTCAAATCATCATGAATTTCATCATCAAAACATTCTCCATAAATGGACACTCCTCCTTTTCCTGTCCCGGTTGGATCCCCTCCTAGATATAAAAATTATTTTTGTTGAACAGAATTGACAAAAATTTGAAAAACAAAAAGAAAGGTATTTTAAAAGGAAATATTTATTACCTTGAATCATAAAATCTCTAATTATCCTATGGAATTTTGTGCCATTGTAATATCCACGTCTAGCAAGTTCTGCAAAATTTCTACAAGTAATTGGTGCATGTTTCCAATAGAGTTCAATAATTATTTCTCCCATTCTGCAAGGATAAATAAAATTTTGAATTTTGAACTTCGATACAAAATGAAGTTTTTGGCCTATATGTGAAACTCGAAGATATCAGTCAATTCGCGAAATGCCTATGATTTTATAAAATATCTAAACTATTAGTCATTCGTAGACATTTCTCGCTTTCGACACCGTTTTTTTTAACTTCATATTTTGTGATAAGTATATTCTTAGCATCAGTATCGGATAGTTTTTGAAAAGAGATTTTTGGCAACCGCTTGTAATAGAGACGAGTGCACGTCGAGCGGATAAATGATATAATTCAGGAAAGTATGTCATTAGTTTATAATATTTATATTTTCTTTAAATTATTTCCTTTTTATTTCTATTTATTATTATTTATTTTGTTGTTCTTAGTAGATTTATTTAAAATTAATACATAGTTTTCAATGATTTTGATTGGCAACATTTGGAGGTTATGGGATGAAAAGTACAATTACGTTAATGTAAAAACAATTTAATAGTTAATTTTTATCTTCAATGACAAATAATTAAAAATTATTAATACATTAAATTTATTTGTAATGTTGTTAACTTACGATGTTTCAAGGGAAACAAATGGTGGTTGCCAATGTTTGTCAGGAATTCCAGAAGCTGTTGTTACTGCCATAATTAAATCAATTAATGCGATACCACTTAATACATTTTTCACTAATTAAGAATCTTAATTTTATTATTGTGGTTTTCCACCAGTAAAGCAGAAAGCTTCTTCTTCTTCTTTAAAAAAAATTATTTAAATTTTACTTTAATTCAATGTATAAATGAGTCTACTTCTCAGAGCCATGTGTTGTTACGTAGTAGTAGTAGTATTATTTTATAACGAGCGTCTCTCGCTCGACTTTACTTTCGATATCTCGAATTGGGAATATCAACGCGCTAAATTTTAATATCAAAACTAGCAAAATTACACGCGCGTAAGCGCGCGTCCAACTTTCACTGCAATGGTTGTTTTAAAATAATAATAATAATAATTCTGCATCAGTGGAGTAATAAATTAATAATAGGTATATTTCTAATTTTCACATTATCATTTATTTATACACAGAAAAAAATGAGTTTGATGTTATATAAGTAGTGATTTTTTAGTTAAGCCAGCTCATAATTAGTTAATACAGCAAAAATAATTTAGCTAAGTTAATTTTTAAATTTAATAAACTTGTAAAACTATTAGTTCGATTGTTGACGGTAATAACAACGAAAACCCAAGAAAAAACCTATCGAAAAAGTGATAATAAGAAAAACATAAATTAAAACCAATAGTTACAATTGGCGGTGTAAATGTTGATAAATCAATTCTATATCCCCAACATAACCGCCGCCACTTGAAAAGCCGAAAAAATTTAATTATGTTGTGTCAATTATGATTAAAATATTCTTTGTCACTTATGTATACCAATGGATTTTCTTATAACGAGTAACATCATTTTTTTGTGAATTGTTTTGAAATGTAAAATTTTACAACAAAAAAGTTATTCAAATTTAGAATTTTGAAAAAATTCAAATTTTTAAATTTTTCTTTTTTTAAATTTTCTACTCTTTTTCCCTAAAAATACTCCTAAAATGACAAATTTTTTTTAAACACTTTTCAATAGAGGCTACAATAAAAAAGTTACGAATTTTTTAAGATCAAAAATACAAAAAATTGAATTTATAGTGGATGAAGCAATGGCAAATAGAAGAAAATATTCAAAAATACAAATCGAATATATTTTTTTCTGACTTAGATACTTATTAGAATAACATCTAAATAACATAAAATAATAAAAATTAACTCAAAATTTTTTTTCTTATAAGTCCTGACATTTCTTTCCATTTCTTGACGTAAAATGAATTTTGATTTACTTCATTAAATTTTATGATTGTAGGTAGTTTTTTTATGTATCATTTGGGTTTTATAACATTGAAAGTAACAATAGTTTTAAATTATTTTCATTCTGTCAGTTCCGTAAAAAACGAGATTAAAGTGTCAAAAAATCCCTTTTTAGCACTTTTTGAAGCACTGTAAATTGGAAACTTTATATAATAAAAATCTCTACGCGGGCTTGAATGAAAGCTTAAATCTTTATCTTTAATTTTTATTACTGAATGATAATTGCGCGGAAACTTATTTTTCATGTAATCGCTATTTCAAACAGTCAAAATAGCTAGGATAGAGAGCACTTGGTAAAAATCGATTTCTGTAACCGGATATATTTGGATTTTGTCACTTGGAAGTTCATTACGTTTTTATTGACGTATCGAAAGTTGGATTTAAAAAAAATCAAAATGGTGTTCTAAATATTCGAAATTAGATTGAATTTTTTTGCTTCTTGTCCTCAGGAGTTTTCGGTAACACTAGAATTTTTCAGATATACGTCAATAGATACGTTATGAACTTCCAAGTGTCAAGTTCCAAATAAATCCAGTTACGGAAATCGGTTTGTACCAAGTGCTCTCTATCCCAGCTATTTTGACTATTTGAGATAGCGAATACATGATAAACAAGTTTCCGCGCGATTATCATTTCGTTTTCAGTTTTGGATCTTAAAGTTAAATGTTTAAGCTTTCATTTAAGCCCTCGTGAAGATTTTTATCATGTTGCGATTCCATTTTACAGTTCTTCAAAATATGCTAAAAAAGATATTTTTTGACACTTTAATGTCGTTTTTTACGGAACTGACCGAATGAAATTTTTTTTTCGTATATTCTTGTTCAGTGACACTTTAACTTTCAATAAGCACAAAAATTTTAATAAACGCGACTTGACCATTTTTTGTAACCCAGTGTTATCCATGCAACATTTTTTCTACTATAAAGAAATCATTGCGAAGTGAAACAAAAATGGTTATAATAATAGACATGATGATGATTATAAATGTTTCAGGCAAAATTATAAACAATTATAAATTAACAAAGTATAAAATTTGATATTTTTAAAGAGAAAATTCATTTTTCAACAATCTTTTTAACAAATTTAAATAAATCTTTCTACTCCTTGGTTTTTTAGGTCGCTCATTACGATTCTGAAGTCAGTTTTTAAAAATTCAAAATGGCGTATTGAAACATTTTTGACGCGAGATTTTTAGCATTTAAAGGTATTCTAAAGGGATAAGATTTGAAAAAATTATAAAAACTGAACAAAATTTCTAAAAAAATCTTTTTTTTAATGCTTGTAAATTGTTTATTTAAAATTTTTCGGTTCTTTTAGTACACTATTTGATAGAGCCTCAACGTACCTGTAAAAATTTCGTTAATGGGTTAATGCACGCCTCCTTTTCCTATTGTATCTTTCTAATTTTCGAGCGTGAAACGCGAGTGCCGTGATGAGAATGTTATCCTTAAAGTCAAAGTACTTTAAGAAGATGAAATTTAATTTATAAAAACCAAAAATTTCACTTATATAAATTGTACAAAAAAATTTTTATGAATATGAATAAAAACATGAGAGCGAAACCTCATATAATAAATTTGTCGCTTTAAAAAATGTATTTACTTTATAGTTCTTTTTTTAGTGTTTTTAAATTTTCAATTAATTTTTTCTTTTACTCAATTGAAATTAGCTCAAAGCGGAATATCTTATTTTAGTAAATAATTTGGTTTGTCGATTTTCGTTAACTACAAAGACCTGGCCAATCCACGGCGCAATATTAAGGAACTAAGTTTGAACAGCTACAGTGCCGTCATTCTCTTTTTTTTGCCCGATAAAAAATTTATTCTAATACCTTTAAACCTTACCTATTTCTATAATTTAATTTAACGTATTTTAATAAAGACTATGAGTTGTTTCTAATAAATTTTTCAAAACAAGTCGATTATTTGAAGATCCCCTTTTAAAATAACTACTTTTTTACTTATTTTAACTCTGTGTGTAATTAATTTTACTCTTTTTAATAAAATTAATAAAGATAACTTCTTTCTTCTTGACATTTTACTTCAAAATTAATTAAATCAACCACAAAGTCTGAAACAACTACAAAATCTCATTCTACCAAATAGATTCTTGGGTAATTCAACTACTTTCTGGTAGTATAATTAATACAATTTTTAAATTTAATATGAAAATTTTTGTTTTACAGAGTGTAGTTAAAAAGTAATTAATGCTAATAGGTTTTAAATTGTAATAAACAAACAAAGCGCGCGAAGCGCGTAATAATATCGGACCGCGAAGCGGGACGATCATCCTTCGCGCGCCCCGGGGCGCGCTCAAGGAGCTTCTACAATAGCTCCGTTTGGCAACTCCAACTCCAAGTCCAAGTTCAAGTCGGTTGGAGTTGGTTGCGCACGCATGGTGTTGCCAACTGTCGCCGAGTTGAAAATGAAAAAAAAATTGTGCGTGATCTCGTGCTCACGAAATAGTTGAGATTATGTACTTTTGAAGCTGTAAACACGCTGTAAAGTTTAATAAATTATTTGTTGTTGTTGCTGTTGATGTTGCCGCCGTCTCATCGTTTTTTAAAGAGAAGAAAAATAAAAATTAAATTAAATTTTTCTTTTATAAACAACAAAATTTTTTTCCCCGAATAATACACACATGCAATGAATTTTATATTTGTAATATATAAATATAAAGAAATATACAATAAATGAGATGAACTGTCAATACAAAATTTTTTTTATGTTTTTATTGACATTATGATAAAAGTTTTTCATCATTTTGATTTCACAATATATTAAAAAGGTATTTTCATGAACATAACCTTACAATATTTTTTGCTTATTTTAATATTAGAGAATGCAGATAATTTTCAAAGTTTAATATTTTATGAATTAATTTTTTCGTCTAAAATTCATTCAATATAATTACTATATGTGATAATAATTCTTTAAAAAGTTAATTTCTTCATGCGTTGCCATAATATTTTTGTAATCCAATTTCCTGAATTCTCCATTTTTCCATGTAAATAATAACTTTTTCCCTGACAAACAGATTTCTTATTAGAAGGAAAAAAACATTTAAGACTCTACAAACATTTTAAACACTATAATCTAAATACTCTAATCTAAATTTAATTCTGAAAATAACATTAAAATAATATAGTAAAATAATCTGTTAATGAGAATAATGTAATCTTAAGTTAAGTTATTTTTAAAAATCGTATTTAATTAAAAATATAATAAATATGTCAACGCACGTTTTCGATTTTTTATTTAAATATTTTTAAATTTAATACCATTTTATGATTACGCCCTTCTCATGTAATGAAATGTAAAAATATTGTAAGGTTATGTTCATGAAAATACCTTTTTAATATATTGTGAAATCAAAATGATGAAAAACTTTTATTATAATGTCAATAAAAAACATTAAAAAAAATTTGTATTGACAGTTCATCTTATTAATTGTATATTTTTTTATTACTATATTTATATAATTATATATATTACTATATATATCACGCACAATTTTTTTTTCATTTTCAACTCGGCGACAGTTGGCAACACCATGCGTGCGCAACCAACTCCAACCGACTTGGACTTGGAGTTGCCAAACGGAGATATTGTAGAAGCTCCTTCAAACTAGCGAGCGAAGCGAGCCCCTACGCGCGAAGCGCGTGATGAGAATGTGGCCGCCCCCGCGGGGGGCTGCCAGATTTTTTTTAATATTTGCAAAATAAAAAAATGAAATATATGTTACAAATTTTTAAGTGAAATATTTTGAAAAGATTATTCATTAAAATTCTAGAAATATCGAAAGGAAATATTTCTAAATTGCTAAAAATACATCTTTAGGCAATATCATCTGGATATATTTGTGAAAAATAAAAAAAATGAATTACAGAAATAAATTGCGAAAGTGATTGTGAAAATATGTGTCAAAATTTGTGTATTTAGTTAAAT